CAAAAGATTAAGGTGGAAATCATAGGCACCAACTCCTAGGGGCCCAGATCTCTTTGCCCACCCCCCATCAGATTCGAGGAGGGCTTCGGTTAGGTCTGCCTGACGTAGAGTTCAAAGTCCCTCTGTATCCTTCCATGGCTGCGGTGCAAAAGATTCAGCTTCTCTCCCCCAGGCACCGCAGTCCTCCTGCAAAATCGCTTCCGCACATCAACTTAATAACACACAGACACTGGAAACATAACACACTTATTGTTAGGTCCTCAGAATGTCTTTAATTCCAAAAAAATTTGAATGCTCGCCCCCCCCTTTTTGCTGTATTTTGCTTGCTTATTTATTGCATTAATAAAAAGGAAAAGGGACCCCTGACTGTTAGGTCCAGTCGTGGCCGACTCTGGGGTTGGGGCGCTCATCTCGCTTTATTGGCCGAGGGACCTGGCGTACAGCTTCCGGGTCATGTGACAAGCATGACTAAGCCGCTTCTGGCGAACCAGAGCAGCGCACGGAAACGCCGTTTACCTTCCCGCCGGAGCGGTACCTATTTATCTACTTGCACTTTGATGTGCTTTCAAACTGCTAGGTTGGCAGGAGCAGGGACCGAGCAACAGGAGCTCACCCCATCGCGGGGATTCGAACCACCGACCTTCCGATCGGCAAGCCCTAGGCTCTGTGGTTCAACCCACAGCGCCACCCGCGTCCCAGTTACATTAATATACCACCTTTATCTTCCAAGGATCTCATGCTTCTTCTCCTCCCCATTTCATCCTCACAACAAGCAGGTTAGGCTGAGAGATAGTGAGTGGCCTCCTCTGGCTGGGCGTCCTGTCATCCTAGAATGGGGAGCAATGGGCCCGGTGGAACTGTGCGTCTGGCTTTTGGCTGATGCTGGAAGCTGGAACAACAAAAGACTGTCTCTTGCTCTGGGCTGGACCCAAAGCTGTGACTTAGAAACCTAACTGGAGAATTAGGCTGGGGAATTAACCCTCCACCCTATACAATAGATTTCCCCAAAGCAGCCAGATGTTTCCCTGAAGCTTCCAAAGCCGCTGTCCACCCTCGCGATGCGATTCAGGTGGAATTGTTTCCTCATGAAACCATCCGCTCGTCATCTGCAATGACTAAGGAAGGCAGCGTCGCAGGTTCCCTCCCCCCGCCTTTCTTTCAGAGATTTATTGCTGCGCTGGAGGGGGCAATGGGATCCGGAGGCCCAGAAGGACAAAGGCAGTTGCCCACCAGTCTGAGGGGGCAGCACAAACATCCCATCCTTCGGGAGGAGTCTCACTCAAATGGGGCATTGCTCAAAGGGGGACGTCTCCCTCAAAAGGGGAAGAATGGGGGGGGGAGAGAAGACACAGCGCCAGCCACCCATCTTTTTCTGAGCTGGCTGCTATTGAGCGGGTGGCAAGGGAAACAAGTGTGGGAAAGACAGCAATGGAGGAACCGGGAAATTCTTGGTGTTGGCCTTAAGGCATTCAGAAGTGTGTGTGTGTGTGTGTGTGTGTGTGTGTGTGAGAGAGAGAGAGAGAGAGAGAGAGAGAGAGAGAGAGAGAGAGAGACCATGTTTATCAGATCTCTCACTTGAATCTGAAACTCTCGAGGGACCCTGTTTTCACACTTTTTAAACATTTTGAATGGAGCACTTGTTTAAAATCTCACCACTTTTGTTTATATGGCATTGAAACGCTTTTACTACTGGGCTATGGCAAGAAGTATTGTCTGCAAATCCAACCTTTTGGCTTTCTTTCTTCTTCTTCTTCTTCTTCTTCTTCTTCTTCTTCTTCTTCTTCTTCTTCTTCTTCGGGGTGAGGAGAGTGGAGGTAGGTTGGGGGAAAGTTCCCCAAAACTTTAGAAATACTTCCCCAGTGTATATTCTTGCTTTCTCCCAGTGTCCACTGCTACTTAACAGGGACACCAAAGCTGGCATTTCCAAAGCAAGACTCGGCCCCAGGCAGGATCCTGCAAAGGTATTTCAATGCAAACTGTTGCAGGCCACCCCAATCTGCAAGTGATGAGAGAATCCAGGGGTTCCAAGTGCTTGCGCAGGTTTTGTTTCCCCAGAATGAAGCTCAGTGGAGACTGCGGTGTCTTTAGAACATATGGTTTTATTTACACATCTATGCAACCTGAGCATAAGAGGGAGGGGCTCGCAGAATTAACCGATCTTCCTTCTCCGTTATGTATGAGCACCAATCAGACAACTGCAGAATGAAAGACAGTAATCAAAGCTTTGGATCCAGCCCAGAGCAAGCATGTCTCTAGGTCTCCAGCTTCCATCCTGCTTCTAGCCCAGCTCACTTACATACAACTCTGGCTGTTGTTCTAGGTCATGGGGGTGGATGAAAGTGTGGGAATGTTCAGGGATGCAGGAGAGGATATATTGTCTGATTATAGCCTTTCCAACTTGTGTTAACAAGTTCACAATTTAGCAGAGTAACATTCCCCTTTTTTTAAACTCAGCGGATATGTTTGCTCAGGCTCGCTAAGGCTCGCTAAAGCCTCTAAAATAAGTTACCTGGTATTTTCCACTTATTCCCTCCTAAAAGATAAGACACGACACAGTCTTCTATAAATGTATAAAAAGGTTTACTCACGCATCATTCTGTTCACAATCGGATCCCAGAAGGCAGACTTACGGTAGCTTAGAGAAGTAACATATACCTGGAAACTATCTCATAAGAAGACTGTTCTCTCTTGGCTGGAAGCCAAGACGGCATCGTTGGCTAAGCAGATGTTGCTTCTGTGATGCATGTAGTCAAAAGAGAGAGAGATGGCTGCCCTGCCCTGTGCTTTTCTCATTACCTGAACAGGTGAAGAAGAAGAAGAGTTTGGATTTGATATCCGGCTTTATCACTACCCGAAGGAGTCTCAAAGTGGCTAACAGTCTCCTTTCCCTTCCTCCCCCACAACAAACACTCTGTGAGGTGAGTGGGGCTGAGAGACTTCAAAGAAGTATGACTGGCCCAAGGTCACCCAGCAGCTGCATGTGGAGGAGCGGGGAAGCGAACCCGGTTCACCAGATTACGAGTCTACCGCTTTTACCCACCTCTAGTCACATGCAGAGGAAGTGTGTCCCAGCCCAGAAGGAAACAGGAAGTTTACCTGCTGGCTGGACAAACATTCCGCCCCATGTGTAAACACGTTCACTCTAGGAATGTTGTACTTGACTGCTCTTGCGTTTCAAATCCCACAGAAAGGTCCGCCCATAAGCCTGGAGGACACCAGCACCTAGTTGTAGCTCTTGCAACTTTGCCCATCCTCCTGGGATGCTGATGAGGACACTTAAGCAGCCAGCCAAGGTCACAGTCTCACAAATGAACTGGTCTGACTAGTCTAGCAACCTCCGCCATTAGACCTCAACACTTCACTGAGCACAGGACCCTAAGAATCGGAAGGGACTCAGGGCATCATCCAGACTGCCCCCCACCAACCCACAACATCACTCTGGAACTGGTGCCTTTGGCTGATGATGGGATGGCTTGGCACTGCTACTCGACTGCAAAAGACTCTAAACTGGAGCCTTTGCCAAAGGGCTTGGCCCACATCCTGCACCTGGAAGTTATGCCTGGAAAGGAAGGGGGATTCAGAGCACCAAGACCTCCTCTCCTGTAAGCCAGCCAGCTGCTCTTGGAAAAGTGGTGCTGGGTTACGAACATCCTCCTCCTCCTCCTCTATGTCCCTGGCCTTCCCGTCTTGATCCTTTGTTTTGGCTGGAAAGATTTCTTCTTCTGACACAGGTTTATGACTGCTGACCCTGGTCCTTCATGCTTTGGCAACTTCCGGATTAGCAGATCCTAAGCATACAGGCCTATGAGCCCTCTCTGTTAGACAGTGAAACAGACGACCCCCAAAGGGGGTGGACTTTCATTCATTGGAGGTTTTTTTAACGAGGTTTGGGTGGACATCTGCATGGGGGTAGCCAGGATTTTTGTGGGGAGGCAGGACTTTTGATAGGGACGCGGGTAGCATTGTGGGTTAAACCACAGAGCCTACGACTTGCCAATCAGAAGGTCGGCAGTTCGAATCCCTGCGACGGGGTGAACTCCCCTTGCTCGGTCCCTGCTCCTGCCAACCTACCAGTTTGAAAGCACCTCAAAGTGCAAGTAGATAAATAGGTACCGCTCCGGCACTGCTCTGGTTCTCCATGCTTAGTTCTGCTGGCCACATGACCCGGAAGCTGTCTGCGGACAAACATTGGCTCCCTCGGCCTAAAGAGCGAGATGAGCGTACAACCCCAGAATCGTCCGCGACTGGACCTAACGGTCAGGGGTCCCTTTACCTTTTAGTACTTTTGTTGGGTGGGGGCAGAACCAACGTAATTGGTCAGTTAGTTAAGCATTTCTATTGCTTTAGAAGAGTTTGGATTTGATATCCCGCTTTCTCACTACCCGAAGGAGTCTCAAAGCAGCTAACATTCTCCTTTCCCTTCCTCCCTCACAACAAACACTCTGTGAGGTGAGTGGGGCTGAGAGACTTCAGAGAAGTGTGACTGGCCCAAGGTCACCTGCATGTGGAGGAGCGGGGAAGCGAACCCGGTTCACCAGATTATGAGTCCACTGCTCTTAACCACTACACCACACTGGCTTTACTTGCTCTAGAAGGGGGGTAACTGCCCCCCCCCCGTCTATGCCCATGGCCACCTGTCAGGGATTCTTTAGCTGAGATTCCTGCATTGCAGGGAGTTGGTCTAGATGACCCTTAGGGTAGCTCCCAACCTCACAATTCTAAGGTTCTCTGGAATCTCTCGTAAGCCCCTTTCATGGCTCTTTAAAAATGACTTCATTCGTGGGGAGAATTTTTAGGGCTTTTATTCTTCAAAACAGCGCCGAGGTGGGGCCTGAGAACGGGCTGTCCTTCCATCTCTCTCCCCCCCCCCCCGACTTTGGGTGAATCATACTCCCCCTCCCGGGCTTGGGCCCTTTCCCAGAGAGAAGGAGGGTGAGGCTTTTGTGCCCTGGCTGGGCGGGGCTCTGCCGGCCCCCTTTGGGCAAAGTGCCTGAGGAGGGGGCGGCGGCTGCGGTGTAGAGAGCAGAGCTGGCCTCTCTGGACGCGCCTCTGCTAAAGCGGCTTGCATCCCGGGCGCTTCCCCGCTTTCAGGACCTTCTCTGCTCGACAGCGCAGTGCGCTGAGTGGCACCGGCCATGAGGGTGGCAGGGCCGCCTCCCCGCTCCCAGGTGGACAGGTGAGTCGGGGATGGGGCGCTTGGGATTATAGCGCCCCCGCTATATTCCCATGCGCCCCCACGGAGTCCGCTGTGCTTCGACGGGTCGAGCGCTGTCGGGGTTTAAGCAGAGCCTCTGCGTCTTCGGAAGAGCCGAGGGGCGGCCGCCCGCTTTAAAGGCCCTTCCCACGGCCCCCTTTGCGCAGCGCCGGGCACACGGTCCTCAAAGCAGTCGTCGACCGTGGCGAGTGAGGAAGGATAACGCATCACCCGCCTCCCGGGGCGCTGGAGTTGTGGGGGGGGGAGCTGTGGGGTTCCAGAGCCCCAGGAAAGATGGACAGGAGACACTTGGGCGGAATCAAGCTTCTGTTCAAGGGTCAGCGGCTGCCCTCCTCTCCCCGCGAGGCGCCAACCTCTGCCTAGGAAGAGTGAAGCCGCCCAGGTGGCTCAGAAAAGCGAGCCAAACCACATTCAGAGAGGGCCGCGGGGGGTGCGCGCGCGCGATCTTCAAAAAAGCTCTGCTGGCAGGTTCTCCTGGACACACAGCCATCTTCCAGAGAGCTCTGAAACTGAGCCTCTCTGGCGCATTTGGGTCGCCTCTTGCGTTCTGAGACCTGGGTCCACCGAGATAGCACCCCCTTCCCCCTCCCTGGAGCCCAGGTCCTTCTCCCCTTCTGTACAGCCTCGGGGTGCCCTGAGTTAAGGGGTTTTCTCTCCTTCACGCAGAGAATGAAATCTGGCAAGCTCGTCGGCATGGTCTGCAGACTCTCGGCGCCTGGCTCTCTGCTGCTCGGACTGCTGGTAAATTTGCTGGAGGTGGTCGCGGAGGGGGCGCAGGCAGACGGCGATCCTTCTGCCCAATGGCTGGGTGGCGGCACCGGTCTCCCGTTCAAGACTCCCGTGGGGCACGGACTGGGCCAATTCGTGAAGTGGTGGGCTGTCAGGGGTGACTTGCCACGGTGGCCCTTCTCTGCCTCCACAGCTGGAGGCAGCAAGGCTTCTGAATTCGCGTTGCTGGAAACTGCAGGGAGAGAGATTGCTCTTGCGCTCCCGTCCTGCTTGCACGCCTCTCGCAACAAGAGGCACTGGGTTGGTCACCGTGAGAACAGGGCGCTGGTCTAGATAGTCCTCCTTTGGCCTCTCCTCATGCTCTGATGTGGGGCGTGGGTGGCGCTGTGGGTTAAACCACAGAGCCTAGGACTTGCCAATCAGAAGGTCGGCAGTTCGAATCCCCGCGACGGGGTGAGCTCCCGTTGCTCGGTCCCTGCTCCTGCCCACCTAGCAGTTCGAAAGCACATCAAAGTGCAAGTAGATAAATAGGTACTGCTCCGGGGGGAAGGTAAACGGCGTTTCCGCGCGCTGCTCTGGTTCACCAGAAGCGGCTTAGTCATGTTGGCCACATGACCCAGAAGCTGTACGCCGGCTCCCTCGGCCAGTAAAGCGAGATGAGCGCCCCAACCCCAGAGTTGGCCGCGACTGGACTTAAATGGTCAGGGGTCCCTTTACCCTTTACCATGCTCTGATGTGGAGGTTTGGAGGACGGGTAACAACCAAGACAAAGCTTGTCTGCCTTAAAGGTCAACAAACGTTTGCCATCCGCCTCCATAGATTCTAGTCTGCAAACGCTGCAGTTAAGTCATTTCAGGTCTTATTGAGTGGGGTGAGGAGGGGTCTTTTAAGGTGGTTATGTGTATTACCTTACTTGCTTCAAAAAATATTGTTATTACATTTATATCCCACCTTTTTTCTCCATGAACCCAAGGGTGGTGTCCATGGTCCTCCCCTTCCTTGTTGAATCTTCACAATAACCCTGTGAGGTGGGCTAGGCTGAGAAGCAGCGACTGGCCCAATGTTCCTCAGTGGGTCTGCCCTACTATCCAAAAAGCGCTTTGCTGTCCTTACTCTCTGCATTCATGTCCCCCCTGTTCCTCCAAGGAGCTCAAGGCTCTCACCCACAAAACAGCCCTGCCAGGAAGGCTAGGCTGAGAGGCAGAGGCTGCCCCCCCCCCGGTGAGCTTCATGGGGGAGCAGGGGTTAGAAGCCTGGCCTGCCAGCCCCTTGTCCAGCCTGCTAACTGGCTCTCAGAGCCCCTCCTGGTCCCTCTGCGGAGTGGGGCCCTGGATGCCTGCCCCAGATGCTGACCCACAGAAGCTGGTGTCCTAATAAATTTGCCCATTAAAAAAGTTGCAGCAAGGGACTGTTTTTGCCACGGCAGATAAAGCCATACATCTTTTGACGGTTTATCAACCTGTGTCCCCTAGTGCTGTTCAGCCCTGCGGATTGGAGAGCCCTGGCTCTGTCCTGTTCACACAAGCACTTGGCCGAGTGAGGGCACTTGCAGGATGTCCCGTGCTCAATTTCCAGAATCATGCAAGTCTAGAAGGCGGCGGGCAAAGTTGTGACTTGGGGGAACAATCGGAAACTCTTGTGGAACCTTAAAGGCCAAGAAATTTATTCCTGCAACTGCAGCTCACTCTGCCAGGTGCCAGAATTGAAATCATAGTTGGGGGAAGCGGTATGGTGGGAGCAGAATGGCAAGGAGATGCAATAATTAGTCAGTGACAATTAAGGCTTAAAGGTAAATGTCAGAGCTGCTCCCCGATCCCAGCTCACAGAGGATCACGCTAGCCAGCGTTCGCTTTATAAAAGTCTTTATTGAGTTACAGTTTCCATTTCCAAGCTGCTGCGTGCAACTCTACGTCTTATGGCTAGACCGGCGAAGCTCCGTCTGAATCTCCGCCCCTCGTACACCAACTTAATATCCTCGCCTTACTCCACCTTTTCCGCCTGACCGTCCTTCTCTGGGTCCCTCTGCCCCCCGTGGTCTCCTCCCTCCGGGACTCCTCTGACGCTGACCCCCCGGACCCTCCTGTCTCCTTGCGTCGGGCTTTAGGACCTGGCTCCCTTTCCGGGCTGCTTACTGCGCCGCCTTCCCGTGCATTTGAACTTGGCGCGCGCGCCCAGCCTTCCACTTTCCGCTTGACCGTTTCTTCGCTCCCCGATGGGGGTGTGGTCACTCCTGACTCATGCCCTCCTCCCTGCTGCGAGCTGCCAGGGCTCGATCCCTGACGTCCTTCCTCTCCACTGCGCTCTGGTGGGGACGCTGGCCCCGATTTCCAACTGCTGCCCTCTGAACCCCCGCTGGTCCCTTCCTCCTGGGGTGTCCCCCTAGGCCCCCCCTTTGCTCTGGCCACTGGCGCTCCTTTCTGTGAATCTTCCGATTCACTGGAAAGACTCGGAGATCTCGGGTCGTCGTCATCACTCATCCTTTCTTCGGACTCCTCCCCCTCGCTCTCTGTTTCCTCCCTTGCCCTCGCCTCTGCTCCTGAACCCCTGACAGTAAAGATAAAGGGACCCCGACCATTAAGTCCAGTCACAGATGACTCTGGGGTTGCGCGCTCATCTCGCTCTATAAGCCGAGGGAGCCGGTGTTTGTCAGCAGACAGCTTCCGGGTATGTGGCCAGAAGGACTAAGCCGCTTCTGGCGAACCAGAGCAGCTCATGGAAACGCCATTTACCTTCCCACAGGAGTGGTACCTATTTATCTACAGTGGTACCTCAGGTTACATACGCTTCAGGTTACATATGCTTCAGGTTACAGACTCCGCTAACCCAGAAATAGTACCTCGGGTTAAGAACTTTGCTTCAGGATGAGAACAGAAATCGTGTTCCGGCGGCGCGGCAGCAGCAGGAGGCCCCATTAGCTACAGTGGTGCTTCAGGTTAAGAACAGTTTCAGGTTAAGAACAGACCTCCAGAATGACTTAAGTACTTAACACGAGGTACCACTGTACTTGCACTTTGACGTGCTTTCGAACTGCTAGGTTGGCAGGAGCTGGGACAGAGCAAAGGGAGCTCACCCCGTCACGGGGATTCGAACCGCCGACCTTCAGATCGGCAAGTCCTAGGCTCTGTGGTTTAGACTACAGAGCCACCCACGTCCCTTAAATATATATTAAGGCTTAAATATATGTTAAACTGGCACAGCTTTAACCTTTTACAGTAGCAGGTTGGTGATAATTGACCTAGAAGCCTCTGAAGGACACTTTGCTCAGAGGCACTTCATTCAAAGCATTTCCTTCAGCACTTTTATTGGCCATATTGATGAGGGCTAATCTCCTACCCATCCCAAATAAGGCAGTGCACTGTAATGGTTAGATTCTTGTACTATGACCTGGGAGACCAAGGTTTGAATCCCCCTGCTCCGCCATGCAGCTCACTTGGGGACCTTGGGCCAGCCCCTGCCTCTCAGTCTAACCTTCCTCACAAGGTTGTTGTGGAGATGGACTGAGGAGTGTTGGGTAGTATACATTACCTTGAGCTCCTTGGAGGAAAAAGTGGTACAAACATGCAGTAAGTAAGGGAAGGAAGGAAGGAAGGAAGGAAGGAAGGAAGGAAGGAAGGAAGGAAGGAATTGCCACTGCTATTCTCCCATTCCTTTGCCATGCAGATTGCTGGCTGATGACTGGGAGGATGGAGGAAAGTCTCCATCAATGTCTCTTTTGCAAGGGGGAGGGGGTGGTACTGGTCTCCCAAACACAGCAGCTGAGTTTCCTTCACAGGTTGGCCTTCTCCCAAGAAGCACGCTGGCGTTCGCCATACCGGCTGAAAACCGCACAGCAAGGGGTGAGTATCCTGATTTGTGCTTCTGTGTGTTTATTTGCAGAAGTCAGCATCCAAGTCCCTCATTGGGCGAGGCAATCTGAGCATGGGGCACCAATTCTGGCCCAACTTTACAGGGGCTGTATTGTTTTTTTCCTTGATTTGTTGGCCACTCTGGAAGTTTTTTCAGCTGAACAGCAGGGTAAAAGCACTTTGGATAAAATGAATGATAAAATGATGCCAGCCAAGGGACTTCTTGGCAGAGGACGTTGAATTCACCATAGGGGGATGCTTATCCCAGAATCATAGAACTCACTTCCATCCCAGAACCATAGAATCAGAAGGGACCTGGAGGGCCATTTAGTCCAACCCCCTGCAATGCAGGAATCACAGCAGCTACTTTATCTTTCCCTCCATGTGGTTCCCCTGCAGATCCTGGCTCCGTCCCCCAGATCATTGAGATGCTGGGAGATGTGTATGAATACGTGCCCATCCTCCAGGACTGGTGGCATGCAGATGGGTACTGCCAGCAGCGCTTCGCTCGGCTGCCATCTGAGCTGGCGTCTCTTGGGGAGAAGCTGCAGTCCTACCAAGTCCAGAGCGCAGTCTGGCTGGATGACCGGGAGGTGTTCCTGCAGAAGCCGAAGCAGAGGCGTGAGTAGAGATATGCTGCCCTATTGAACCTAAGATAAGCCTGCTAGATCAGGTAATGGCCCACCTGGTCCAGCAACGAGATCTCACAGTACCATGTGCACCTAGGCGCCTGTGGGAAACCAGGGAGAAGGACATGGGCATCAGAGCCCTCTCCCTCCCCTCCTGTGGTTTCCAAGAACTGGTATTCAGAAGCATGGCTGCCCCCAACTGTGGAGGCCAGAGCACAGCCATACTGGCTAGTAGCCATTGACAGCCCTCTGCTCCTCCTCCTCCTCCTTCTCCTCCATCTCCACCTTCTCCTCCTCCGCCTCATCCTCCATCTCCACCTTCTCCTCCACCTCCTTCTCTTTCTCCTTCTCCTCCCCTCCTCCTTCTCCTCCTCTTCTTTCTCCTCCACCTTTTCCTCCTCCTTCTCCTCCTCCTCCTCCTCTTTCTCCTCCTCCTCCTCCTCCACCACCACCACCACTTCTCCTCCTTCTCCTTCTCCTTCTCCTCCTCTTCCTCCTCCTCCTCCTCTTCCTCCTCCTCCTCCACCTCCTCCTCCTTCTCCTCTCCTCCACCTCCTCCTCCTCTTCCTCCTCCTCCTCCACCACCTCCTCCTCCTCTTCCTCCTCCTCCTCCTCCTCCTCCTCCTCCACCTCCTCCTCCTCTTCCTCCTCCTCCTCCTCCACCTCCTCTTCCTCCTCCTCCACCTCCTCCTCCTCTTCCTCCTCCTCCTCCTCCACCTCCTCCTCCTCTTCCTCCTCCTCCTCTTCCTCCTCCTCCACCTCCTTCTCCTTCTCCTCCTCCTCCTCCTCCTCCTCTTCCTCCTCCTCCTCCTTTTCCTCCTCCTCTTCCTCCTCATCCTCCTTCAGGAATTGGTCCAACCCTCTTCTAAAGGCATCCATGTCGGTGGCCATCAAAGTTCCATAGCTTAACTCCCTGCGCTGCAAGAAGAAGGCCTTTCCTTTTATCTGTCCTGAATCTTCCATCATTCACCTTCACTGGACAACCACAAGTTCCAGTGTGATGAAAGGAGAAAAATTTTTCTCTCTCCACTTTCTCCTGGCCATGCATAATTTTTATAAAAATCCTATCATGTAACCCTTCTTTGCTTTTTCTCTCAAACTAAGAAGTCCCAAATACGACAACCTTTATTCATACAGAAATCGCTCCGTCCCGTAGATCATTTGGGTTGCCCTTTTCTGAACTTTTCCCAACTCTACAACGTGCTTTTTGATGTCAGGCAACCAGAACTGTTTTAAATGTTGGGTCATCATCTTCAACATCATCATCATTATTTTTAATTTGTATACTGTCTTTCTATCTTACAATACTCAAGGTGGTTTACAAGCTGAAGAAACAAAAAATGTACATCTTATAACAATCTAATGCAATACAAAAATGTGATAATAAAACAAAACTTTAAAATAGGCAACCTCCATCAAAAAAGTAACATTCAACCATCATTAGAATAGTATTAAATAATAATATCAACATATAAAAGTTAAACAGAAATCCACTCAACGGTTACAATAAATAATATCTAAACTATCATCACTAAAACAATGGCAAGCCACAGTACATATAACAATACAATACACATTGAGAAGCAGAGACTAGAGGGTGGGGCAAGGCAGGTAGAAGGAAACCTTGCCTGATGGAGTCTCTCTCCTCACAGTTCTTCTTTCAGGACCAGCTCCCTTATGAGGACTCCTAGGGTTGGAGGGTGGGGCAAGGCAGGTGGAAGGAGGCCTTGCCTGATGGAGTCTCTCTCCTCACAGTCCTTGGTCACATCCCCATCTCTCTCCCCCACCCCCAGGAAACATCTCTGCACCAATCCTGGTCTTCAAGAACAAAACGGACACCAAGTTTGTGAAGGTCTTAGCCGACTTCCCAGAGATGCCCGCTGTGAGTGCCTGCGCCCATGTCCAGTGGGACCCTGAGGCTGTGGAGATCTCCACTGTCTTCTCCTACGCGGTCCCGGCTTTCATCAACGAGTTCCAGTTGCGTGGCTTCGTCGACGAGGATGGCTTTGTCCGGTTTGCCATCATCCTCCATGGGCACCACTCCCCGTACCTGCCCGTTTTTCGTGCCGATGGGCAGTGGCACCACTTCTGTGTCACATGGCAGCATCAGAATGGGGCATGGGCCATCCATGCTGACGGGAAGGAGAAGGCCTCAGCCACAGGGCTTTCAGCCTCCCATGCCGTGGATGGCCACGGGACGTTCATTATCGGGCAAGACCAGGATTCCCTGGGTGGAGCCTTCAAGGAGAAAGAGTCCTTCAGCGGGAACCTCACTGGTTTGCATGTTTGGCGGAGGGTCCTCAGCAGGGAGCAGATAGAGAAAGTCCGCTCCTGCATCCCTATTCAAGAGAGCCTCGTGTTTGCCTATAGCAGTGACATCCTCGAGGTGGAAGCCAGCATCCAGCAGGCCACAGTGCAGCTCACCTGCCCAGGTAAAGCGCTCTCGGCTTGTGACCTCACCAGCCATCTGAATCTGGTCTGTGATGAGCTGGTTGATTTGCATGTCCCTCTTTTTAGTTGGTGTGGCTGGTTATTTGCCTATATTGGATGGGGGCAGGAGAGAAAGCTGCCCCAGGACAAGGGTGGGGGTCCCTGTGGCCTGCAGACCGTGGCCAGTGATGATGGGAGTTGTAGTCCCAACTGGAGGGCCACCGGTTCTCCTTCCTGGTTTAGGAGGCATCTTGGGCTGGAAGAGCTTTGAACTCTCTTGAGTCTCCAGTTCTCACCATTGGCTTGTTGAGATAGGTAGGTAGATACCTGTCGGGGTCTTCTTTCTCCAAAGGTTGAAGATGTCCATGGCAATCAGGTTGTGTGACTCAGCTACCTGCAAGTACACAAATGGCAGAGTGTATTTCGAATAAACTGTGTGGAGCAGGAGCAGATGGCGGGGAGGGGTGATGGCTGCGACTGGACCTCCTGACAACTCAACGCCACTTACCTGGAGGCAGTGGGGGAGGGGTGGGGTGGCAGGGAGATGGGGCAAAGGCATCAACAGGAGAGCTGGGTGAAAGTAAGATGCTTTATAAGGTCCTAGTGGCAGTGAGTGCCTGCCGCTGCCTGGGAGTTTTTAGGAAATAAAAAAATTGCAATTTTAAAACTAAAAATTGCGTGATTTGTGATTTTGGACCCATGACACCAAAATTGGGTAAACTCATGCCAAAGTTGCGTTTTGGTCTGACGTCTTGATTCAAAGCGACACCTAGAATCCAAGACGTTGGCAGAGTCTGCCAACCCCGCCCTCAGGAAACCGAATTTGGTGACGATGCTTCGAGGGGCGTCCCAACCTATAGAAAACAAACAAACAAACAATTTCCCAAAACATCTAGTAGATGGAGAGTGTTGTTCTTGTTCTAGCCCAATGGTTGCCATAAATTTGATTTTTAGAATGAATTGATTTCAGAATGCTGTGTTACTTTTATTGTTGTTAGCCACTCTGAGCCCAGCTTCGGCTGGGGAGGGCGGGATATAAATAAATTATTATTATTATTATTATTATTATTATTATTATTATTATTATCCTCTCCCAGGGCCTGTGGAGGAATGCCCAATGTTTCAGGTCGTCCAGGGAAGCCTCGCTTATGCTCCTTGCCTGCAGCTGCTACCTTTTGTCTGCCATTACAAAAAAGGTATGGCGGTTCTGACTGTCCTTCTCTCCAGGCTCAAACTGTGGCCCAAGGTCCCCATTCCTTTCTGCCAGCAATCGGTGGACCAGAGGGAGGTGGGTGGAGCAACAGGTGTGACTCTTACTTTGGTCAGTATGGTCCCATCTGCACAGTGCATTAAAAGCACTCCCCGCCCCCGAAATAAGAAGAATAATGGGAACTGTAGTCCACTGAGAGTTCTGAGAGTTGTCAGGAGACCCCTATTCCTCTCACAAAGCTACAATCACCAGAGTGGTTCACCCCCTCTTCCTGTTAATTAAAACACAAGCCACTTTTTATTAATGGGAATGTTTATTTGATAACGATAATGGAATACTTATTTATTTAAATGCTCATATTCCTCATGCCAAAGTGCCACAAGGCTGGGAGCCAGGGATCAGGTTCCATTTCCCCCGGAAGAGAGTTCCAAGATTTTGGAGCCAGCACTGGGAAGGCCCTGTCATGCCTTGTTCGGCAAGGAAACTGCGCCTCTGAAGGAGGTCTTCATCACTGGGTTGGTTTCCAGGAGAGAAAGGGTCCTTTTGGTATCTCCAGCTGTTGGATCAGCCTGGATTTGTGGTCAGACTGGGGCCTTGAGAGACACCGGTTCAACTCCCCCCTTGTCCACAAAGTGCTCTGGGTGAATTTGGGCCAGTTGCTCTCTTTTGACCTCGTCTACCTTGCAAGGCTGTGGAAAGAATTATTATTATTATTATTATTATTATTATTATTATTATTATTATTATAATTCAAATGCCATCCTGCATATGAAGATCACAGGGCAGTTTACAACATGAAAATACAACATGAAAACACAAATTACATAGCATAATAGCAAAACAACAACACCCCTCCCCCACTATCACACTTAAAAGGCCGTAGATGGCTTAATCAGCCAAAGCCCTAGTGGAAGAGGAATGTTTTTGCCTGGCTCCATAAAATGGGCAAGGTACTAACTTTGTAAACCACCTTCCACAACCTGTCAGGAGTTCAGCCTACACTCGAGTAGGACCCTGGCAGAGACACGTGCCCGACTGGCATGTTCCCTCCCTCCTGGTCTTTCATTCGGGAGCTTCAAAAGCTTTCTTCTGCCCGAACATCACAGCGACCGATGCCAACAGCCACCAGCACACTTAAGGATCCGCAGAGTTTGTGCTTCATGCGTGACAGACCTCAGCAACTCAGCATTTTGGCTAATCGACTTTATTTACATGTCAACACACACACGGAGCACTGCAACATGGCTCCCTCTCTCTCTAGCATCAGACAGCAAAGAGAAAAAGGAAAAAGGACAATAGTCCCACTTCACAGAACACAGTAAAACAAACATCCTGTCTCCGTCACTTCCCACTCTGTGGAGTCAAAACATACACTGTCATGTGAAAGACAACAATCCCATGACTGCAATCGCGGAGCAGGAATTCTAACACAGCCTTCCATTTGCATGTCTGTTGTTTCCCCCTCAGATCTTTATTTGCAGTTGAAGAAAACACAGTCGAAACCTGTCCCACAGCTCATAGCTCAGGTTAATGCGCGAGCGAATGCGACAGTGGTGAGTAAAGCATTGGCCTCATCCCAGACTCCTGAGGGCTTCCACCTGTGGCCCAGCGTCACTGTGTTGCTGGCCAGGCCTCATGGGCCCCGAAGCCTTTTCTCAGGGCCCCCAAGTGTTCCCTGGGTGAGTCGGTGGGGAAGTTGATTTCTGGGAGAATTTGGGTTGGACTTGAAGATCCATGGGGTCCCTTCCAACGTCACAGTTCTGTAATTTCTGTAAGAAGCTACCAGACCCCTGAGCCATCTTGCTGAACACTGGGCACAGTGACTGGTGGAGGCTCTTCAGAATGATTTCTCTGTGTGTGTGTGTGTGTGTGTGTATTAGTTTTTTTAAAAAAACATATCATTTTCAACACTAATTAAACATACTTTTACATCTTATACAATTTTTTTTACTTCCATCAATCACGTCTGAAAATTTTCCAATCTATTCACTTAATATACATGTCTTACTTTCACTATTACCTTTAAATCTCATAACTAATATCTCTGTTCTTTCTCTGCAATATTTCATCTATTTCTCCTTACAAAACTAGCGTAATTTGTTGATTACAGTTGCTCTTCAAATAGTTTGTATATTTCTTCCAATCTTCTGTAAATCTCTGGTCCCGCGGGTGGCGCTGTGGGTAAAAGCCTCAGCGCCTAGGGCTTGCCGATCGAAAGGTCGGCGGTTCGAATCCCCGTGATGGGGTGCGCTCCCGCTGCTCGGTCCCAGTGCCTGCCAACCTAGCAGTTCGAAAGCACCCCCGGGTGCAAGTAGATAAATAGGGACCGCTTACTGGCGGGAAGGTAAACGGCGTTTCCGTGTGCTGCGCTGGCTCACCAGGGCAGCGATGTCACGCTGGCCACGTGACCTGGAAGTGTCTCCGGACAGCGCTGGCCCCCGGCCTATAGAGTGAGATGGGAGCACAACCCCAGAGTCTGTCAAGACTCGCCCGTACGGGCAGGGGTACCTTTACCTTTTACCTTACTTTCACTATTACCTTTAAATCTCATAACTAATATCTCTGTTCTTTCTCTGCAATATTTCATCTATTTCTCCTTACAAAACTAGTGTAATTTGTTGATTACAGTTGCTCTTCAAATAGTTTGTATATTTCTTCCAATCTTCTGTAAATCTCTGGTCCCGCAGGTTTCGAATCCTTCCTGTCATTTTGTCTAATTCTGCGTAGTCCATTAATTTCGTCTGCCGGTCTTCTTTCGTCGGAATTTCTTCTTCTTGCTTCCATTTCTGGGCTAACAATATTCTTGCCGCTGTTGTTGCATATGAGAACAATTTAACATCTTGTCTATTAATATCCTCACCTATAATACCAAGTAAAGATGCTTCTGGTTTTTTTAAGAATGTATATTTCAACATCTTTTTCATCTCATTATATATCATTTCCCTGAAGTTTTTTACTTTCTTACATTCCCACCTTCAGGATGATTTCTGGCAGGGGCCGTTCGTAGCTCTACCTGGAGATGCCGATGGGGGTGGGGGGTTGAATCTGGAACCTTCCTCACACAAAGCCAGGGCTCTTCCACTGAGCCACAGCTCTGGGAACACATGAGATGTAGCCTTGTCTCAGGAGACCCACGGTGGGCAAAGCTTCTTAAGGTCTGGTTGTGGGGCACAGGCAGCTATTGGCACATCTTCTCATCTCACCTCTCCACATTGCGCCTCTTTCCTCCCACCCTACCCCGCCGCTTGGATTTGTGCCTTCCCTAAAGTGACTTCAGTTTGTGCGCTGCTCCCAACCCAAAATCCCCAAATAACAGATTTTGGAAGCATGGCTACTAAAAAATACTTCAAATACGGCTTTGTGCAGACAGGGCCGTCTTACCCATAGGCACTAGGGCTGCAGGGCACCCGGGCGCCGGGCTCTCAGGGGCGCCAGGCTGAGAGTCCAGGGCCCGAGAGTTGAGTCTGGGGAAGAGTCTGCCTGTCGGTCGGAGTGACGCGATGGGCTCTTCTGTGCCGTGAGTGTGGGGGCGACTGAGCCAGCAAGACGCTGAGGTGGCTGGCCAGCTCTGCCTTCCTGTGTGCCTGGGACTGGGCAACCTGGGGGGGCAGACACCAGGCGGATCTTTGCACCCCGGAGCCACATATGCTTAAGACAGACCCTGTGTGCAAATCACACACATCTTGGTGGATTTTTCCAAAAGGGGAGGCACACCCAAACCCCTTCACCCACCCTGCCCCCATTTACCGTATTTTTCGCTCTATAAGACACACCAGACCACAAGACCACCTAGTTTTTGGAGGAGGAAAACAAGTAAAAAAATATTCTGAATTTCAGAAGCCAGAACAGCAAGAGGGATTGCTGCGCAGTGAAAGCAGCGATCCCTCTTGCTGTTCTGGCTTCTGGGATAGCTGCGCAGCCTGCATTCGCCCCATAAGACGCACACACATTTCCCCTTACTTTTTAGGAGGGAAAAAGTGAGCAAAAAGTGAGCAAAAAATACGGTAGTCCCCCTTCTCTAACCTGCGGGGTGTGTGTGTCTTGTTTCTGGCTACAGATTCCCGAGCGTGTCTTCCAGTCAGAAGTCCGAGGTGTGGACCTTTCAGTAGCCGCTGGTTACCTAGGGGTGGTGGAGACGGTCCTGACGGAGGCTGAGCCTCCCTCTCTGGAGCCAGCTGCTCTTCTGGGCATCTTGCAACTGCTGAAGGAGGTCTCAGACATGGATGCCAACGAGCCGGAGGAACTGGCAACGCTGGAGCAGCTGGGGCAGCACTACGTGGCAATTGCCGGGGCAATCCTGGAGGAGCAGAACGCCGAGGAGTGGTCCGAAATAAAGCCGGTAAAATCATGGCTTCCTAGAAGTAAGGGGGACGGGTCTGGTGAGCCCCAATGTTTGAGGCAGGAAATCCAGAAAGCTGAAGCAGCCCTGATAGTCCGCCATCCCTTTCCGTCCTTGAGAGTATGTGGTCAGACCAGGACCCATGGGAGACCCTAGGGCCATGAAGATGACAGAGGTGACCTTGGAAGTCAATGCAGGCCTCTTAGTAATGTTGATGGCACTTGACCATTGTACTGTGGAGAGTGTATTAACTTACGGTCTGTGTGTGTGGTTTGGGAGCTGCACGGTCAGGGGAAAAACAATGCTGTCCAGGGTTGTCAAGACTGCGGAGAGAATAACTGGGTGCACTCTTCCCACCTTGGATCAAATCTATGCTTCCAAGTGTCAGAAGAAAGCTGCAGAGATAGCGCAGGATAGTGCGCACCCCGGAAATGATCTCTTTCAGCTTCTGCCTTCTGGAAGAAGGTCCAGGGTTATCAAGACTAGGACCAGCCGCCTGAGAAACAGTTTCTACCCAAATGCGATTTTGGTTTTAAACGCAGTATAAGGAGTCTCTATAGGAGTATGTTGTATTTTAAAATGGGGTTTCAGAGTTTTTAGGGGTTTTTGAATGTCTTATGTAGATTTTTCAATTTCATTGTTCTGTATGGGACAACGACAATAAAGATATCATATTGTAGTCCCACTGAGCTCACAGGGCGGTTGTTGGGGTGTTAAATACGGAGGGGATACCTGGAGCTCCTTGGAGGGGTTTTTGGCGGGCGGGGGGAGGTGGGACAGAAACACAATAAATAAACAAACACTAGGTGGCTGTCCGGCCTCTGCTGGAAGATTTTCAGGAAGGTAGAAATATATAAGGAAATAAACATCCCTGGGTACACACCCTAATTACCGGTAAATGAGTTGCACCACACCTACGCTCACTGCAGTTAGGCTTCTGGGCAGAATTTTACGCAACTGAATATGTACTTTATTACATGATTTACTACATTATTCCACAACATCCATTTCAATGCAAAGGAAACGCAATTCAGTTTGGAAGGGCAGTTCAGAGAATCAAAGGACTGCAGAGTTGGAAGGGATCCCTCAGGGTCATCTAGTCCAACCCCCCGCAATGCAGGAATCCCAATTGGTTCCATATCATTGGCAGGCTGAACACAACAAAGGCGAATACCAATCATGTTCATTGATTTCTGCTCCAGACATGGGGCAAATAAGGAAACTCTGCTTCCGTTTCCATCAGGATTATCTGACGCCTCATATCACCTCTCTCTGTGTGACTGGCTCCATTCTTAAATCCTCTCTGCTATCAAGAAGCTTCCCTAATCTTGACCAAAATCTACCCTCCAGTAGCTTAAGCAGCAGAGAAGTCATAGAATCATAGAACTGTCGTACAGTTGGAAGGGACCCCAGGGCCATTTCGTTCCAGCCCCCTGCAATGCATTAAGCAGCCTTTGCTCTCTTCAATGGGGCAGCCTCTCAGAGACTGGAAGAGTGCTATAATAATAATAATAATAAGAGTAAGAATAAGGCAGCCCTGCTCAGGGAAGTTTTGAATGTGAGACATTTTAATGTATTTTTAATCTTTGTTGGAAGCCACCCAGAGTGGGGTGACCCAGCCAGAAGGGCACGGTACTACTACTACTAATAATAATAATAATAATAATAATAATAATAATAATAATAATTTGCTTCCAACAAAATATTAAAATACAGTAATGCACCAAACATTCAAAGTTTCCCTAAACAGGGCTGCCTTCAGATGTCTTCTAAAAGTCTGGTCGTTGTTGTTCTCTTTGACATCTGGTGGGAGGGCGTTCCACAGGGCGGGTGCCACTACCGAGAAGGCCCTCTGCCTGGTTCCCTGTAACTTGGCTTCTCACAGGGAGGGAACCGGGAGAAGGCCCTCAGTGCTGGACCTCAGTGTCCGGGCAGAACGATGGGGGTGGAGAAGCTCCTTCAGGTATACTAGGTCAAGGCCGTTTAGGGCTTTCAAGGTCAGCACCAACACTTTGAATTGTGCTCGGAAATGTCCTGAGAGCCAATGTAGGTCTTGAGTTCCCTGCGGGAGGAAGGCCAGGGAACCCCATGGGCAAAGTCGGATGATGATGATGATGATAAGGTTTGGGCAGCTGCTCCTGTGCTCCTCAGATCCTTGATGGACCCATGACAGTTGTGGAAAACATGGACAAGATGGTTTCCAACCTCCATCAGCTCCTGAGTGCAGAGAGGCCCAAAGTCACCATCCGGAGTAAGAACGTTGGTGAGTAGCATCAATGCGAGGGGGTGCGAGGGGAGGAAGAGGCTGGGGATCTGTCAAAGCAAATTTGATGCCAGAAATTCAGTAGGAAAGGAATTGAAAATAAAACTGCAAATATCCTAATGCTGTTACACAAATCTGTGGTGCATCCCCCACAGTACTGTGTAGAGTAAAGGTAAAGGTAAAAGGTAAAGGACCCCTGACCATTAGGTCCAGTCGTGGCCGACTCTGGGGTTGCGGCGCTCATCTCGCTTTATCAGCCGAGGGAGCCGGCGTACAGCTTCCGGGTCATGTGGCCAGCAGGACTAAGCCGCTTCTGGCGAACCAGAGCCCACTCTCTTGGGGGCCCCAAAAAATTTAAAGGAAAAAAATCCCTGGGTGTACATTTCCAAAATATGAGATAAAAAACAAATAAAATAAAACCTACATACAGTTAGAGCTTAATAATTATTTCACTATTAATATACTTCTTCTTAATTGTATTTCACTATTAATATACTTTTTATTAATTGTATTTCAATTCAACAATTACTTTGATAAAATGCATATTTTGTTACGTGCAAATGGCTTGAGATACCTAATAGGTCCATAAATTACCATATAGCATATATTCAACACAAAAAAAGCAGCGACAATTTCTTGTTGACAAAGGACAGCTGGACATAGAAAGGGCCCCATGACCTTCAGGAGCTGAGGGCCTCACCAAACCTAAATCTCACACGAAGGCATGTAAGCCACATTTCCCTATTGCTGTGGGAGTGAGGAAGCTTTTTCAGCCCGGGGGCCAACATTCCTTCTGGTTAGCCTTCTGAGGGCCACATGCCAGAAGCGTGGGTGGAGCAGCTACTATAAATAATTGCCTTTGTGCGGTAGGTTAGTTCCCACACACACTCTCACACACACTGCTCGGGTGCTCGGATCCTGCTCGAGGGTTCTCTACTGGGGCATCTGATGGGCTGCCGCTGTGGGAACAGGGCTAGATGGACCATTGGCCAGGGGGTGCCAACTTGCATAAAATATTGTGGGGCGCCAGGTAAGCCCCACCTTGCATAACTGATCACATGACGCAGTGCACACGCACCATTTGAATGGGAATGTCCGTCCACTTTGTGGAAGCCTTGCCCCTCAAATATTTTTTGTGGGGGCTGAAGCCCCCATGGCCCCTAGGAGTAGGCCCCTGTGCCTTTGGCCTGACCCAGCAGCCAAAGAACAGCTCTTCTCAGCCTCTTCTCAAGCAGGCTGCGATTTCTTAAGCCTCAGGATTTCAGGCTACTGTAACAGGCCATTTTCAGCCTGCAGGTTAGAGCTGGGTGACAGCAATGATCCGCAGCCACAAATGGCCTCCTATTTAACACCCTCTTAAGTGTTTTAGACTACAAGTCCCATCAGCTCCAGCCAGCATGGTCAATGGGAGTTGTAGTCCCACAGCGTTTTGAAGATCAGCCAGGATGGTGACGTTTGACGCAGGTGCCACAAGAGGGCACCATGTGGAAGAGGAGATACTGAGTTCTTTGGTTTTGCAATTTATCTTGAGCTATGATAAGAAAATGACACTGATTGCAGATAAAAAAAACGCACAGATTATACTCAAGGGCAAAGCGCATAACTTACTTATCTTCATAAAAAGAGGAAAGTTTTTCCTCCGCAAGCGAGCATTTTTCTGAGGCTAAGTCACAGCAGGAACATATTTTCGCCCCAATTACTTAGAAAGTGGATGGGGGGGTGTCAGTGGGAAGAAGAGATCTCGAGTAGAAAGCAAGGCTACTTTGCTAGGGCAGACCTACCAAGTGAAATATTGAGCAGAATTCTGTCCCCCCCCCCCCACTGTTAGACTAACAATGCATGAATTGGGAAAAACTTATGTCATCTACTGTAACTTAATTTCTAAATCTGTTATGGGGTTAAGTGTTATTGGGCCTGCACATGTAGACGCTCTTTCCCTGCTCATAGATGTGCAGAGATGTTCTTAAGTGAGAAAAGAGTGGCGCTCTTGTGTGGGGAAGGGGATGTATTCAGGAGAGCCTCCCACCTCCCCTTCCTTGCTGCAACTGCTGCCAGAAGAGTCTGACTTGACGGTTAGATATATGCTCTTTAAAAGGTAAAGGACCATTAGGTCCAGTCACGAACGACTCTGGGGATGCGGTCTGCTCATCTCGCTTTACTGGCCGAGGGAGCTGGCGTACGGCTTCCGGGTCATGTGGCCAGCAGGACTAAGCCACTTCTGGCGAACCAGAGCAGCGCATGGAAATGCCGTTTACCTTCCCGCCGGAGCGGTACCTAGTTATCTACGTGCACTTTGATGTGCTTTTGAACTGCTAGGTTGGCAGGAGCAGGGACCGAGCAACGGGAGCGGGAGCTCACCCCGTCGCGGGGATTCGAACCACCAACCAAGTCCTAGGCTCTGTGGTTTAACCCACTGCGCCACCCGCGTCCCTAATATATGCTCTTAGGCTCCACTTTTTCTGGGTCCAAATGCCCGAGGAATTCCTTTGAGGGGAAATAGCTTCCACGTCAGTTTTCCTTTCACACTCTCTTCTCCTGCATTTCCACACGTGATCTTTCCTTTCTCATGAGCTTTGAAGGTGAGCCTCTCCAACGGTCTTTGAAATGGCTGGTCTGTTTGGCTGACCTTTCCTTGCAGGTAGCCCAGTATCTTCTAAGATGACCCTGCCCTTGACCCTTTGCTCCCCAGGAGTAGAAGTGCGACGTGTCTCTCTCGACCGAGCAACAGCTGATGGCGCTGCGTACATGATGCTGAACCAAGACGCTCCAGACCAGATCGAAGTCCCAAGGGAAGAAGTGGAGAGGCTGAGAGTGAGAGGTGGAGAGGGGATTGATTTATCTTTAACGTATTGCATTCTGATGCCACTTTTCTTGATTCTGCCCCTCCTCATTTCGTCCCTGTGAGGGAGGTTAAGCTGAGAGGCAGTGACTGGCCCCCAAGGTCACTCAGGGAGCATCAGGGCTGAGCCAGAATTCGAACCCTGGTCTCTTCCAGGTCCTGGTCCAACACTCTGACCCCTGCACCCACCGTCGGCAACTGAAGGCCCATGGGCCAGAAGCGGCCCACGAAGGCCGTTCAACCGGCCCCCAAACCACCCCCAAACCAACCGATGTTGTAAATTACTATGTTAATGTTAAAATGAAAAGAAAGAAAGATGAAAATTGACTAACTAAATTTTATGTGAAAATAGTTTTGGAAAACCGCTACAATGGAGTATATGGAAACTGAGCGAGGGGAATTCAAGGAAGCCATTCAACAATGTTAACAAAAGTGGAATTATTATATGTTTGTTTGCGCATGCCCAGACGCCGGAAATCGCTTCTGCACATGTCCGCAGTGCCAGAAATTGCTTCTGTGCAGGTGTGATTTTTAGCATCTGGGCATGCGCAGAAGGGTTTTTCGGCACCACAGACATGCGCAGAGGCAATTTCTGGCATGGCACTGCGCTGGTCTGGGTTAGGGTTAGGGGTAGGAATAGGGTTAGGGTTAGAGATAGGGTTAGGGTTAGGATTAGGGTTAGAGATAGGGTTAGGGTTAAGGTTAAGGTTAAGGTTAAGGTTAAGGTTAGGTAGGTTAGGGTTAGGGTTAGGGTTAGAGATAGGGTTAGGGTTAGGGTTAGGGTTAGGGTTAGGGTTAGGGTTAGGGCTAGGGTTAGGGTTAGGGTTTAGAGTTTGGGCTAGGGTTAGGGTTTAGGGTTTAGGGTTAGGGTTTAGGGTAGGGTTAGCGTGAGGGCTGGTGGTGTAAGCTTGGACTGGAAGGTGAAACTGAACTACACTAGAAACTAATAGGGTTTAGGAGAAGGGCAGCTTGACCATTGTAGTCCTTGTGCTGATAACCTCGGGGCTGGGCTACTGCCATGCACTCTGCGTGGAGCTGCCCTTGCGCCCAGTGTGGAAGCTGCAGATGGTGCAGGATGTGGCGTCCAGATTGCTGATGGGGTCACCTGGCCAACAGTAGGTTACCCCCTTGTTAAAACAGCTGCACTGTCTGCCCATCTGCTACCAAGCCAGGTTCAATGTCCTTGTAAAAATTTACAAAGCCCTGGTCAACTTTGGTCCAGCGAACCTCAGGGATTGCCTGAACTCTTATATTCCAGCTCAGTTATTCAGATAATCTGCAGGCACATTGCTGGTCATTTCCCAAGATGGGGAGGCTCATTTGACAACAACAAGAAGCCAGCCATTTAGTGTCAAGGGCTGGTCCTGTGGAACACTCTGCCACTAGAGATTCAGAGGGCGCCTTCTGTTCCAACCTTTCGAACACCTGCTTAAAGCTTTTCTATCTTCTATTGCTTATGCAGGCAGTTAGGAATATGTCTTCCCACAGTAGCTATCTGGTTTTAACTTTTAAAATATGGTTTCATCTGGTTTTTATTGTATGCGCAATTGCTCTGCCTACTTTTGCCTCTGGCCTCATCCAGCAACCATGCCTGAAGGTTATCCACAAGGGATTGAAAAAGTTTTCACAACCCCGGCTTGTACAGATGGCTGAGAGAGCTGGTGATCTCATTGTTTTCTGTTCTGCTCTGAAGCATAGAATTTTTACTTGATAATTATCTGTGGTGTTTGTTTTTAGGATGCTGTTCATTTCTTAGAGATTTTGTTCTCTAAAGGTTTTTACTGAAGTAAATCAAACAGACCAAAACAAAAAACAAAAAAATCCTAGAAGTGCAAAAAGGCAGCACAGTATATCTGAGAGAGACTCAATATTTGGTTGGTGAGGCACTTAAGACCGTCAGAAAAGCCAAATTTCACGTAGTACAATGGAGAGGTACTCCCTGTCTGTCTCTGTGTGTTGCATGTAAGATGAAATCCCACCAAACAGGGTACGTCATAAGGGAATTGATTTGATATTGCTTTATATATCTTTGTAACTTTGTACTAATATAACAACTGAGGACTTTAGTAATATTTTGTTTCAGTTGCCTGTTTTTTGTACATCACTCACAGATATTTTTAATATGTTAAGTGGTGTAGAAATTAAATAATCAAAAATCAACATAGATGATGCAAATAAATGGCAGACAGCCTGGTCCCTGTCACAACCAGGCCACAACAAACTTCTGTTACTTCCCACCCAGGTCTTGATCACTAAAATAGAACCTAAAATTGTCATTTGAAACCTTAATCATTTTGGTAGTACAGCTTGTTCCCTAAGTTTTATGGCAGTCGCACAGAATTTGGCCACCCTTAGCATGATCTCTAGATCCCTGTCCTCTACCAGGAGTTTTAGACATTGGAGTTTGGACCCATTTTGGAGATTTTTGCATAACAGGAGTGATAAATACCGAGTGTATATCCCCGTAGAAACGGCCGCTTAACAAGACATGAGAGACAGTTTCTACCTCCATCAAGCCGCAGGGGCAGACTCGTTCCACGTATGGTTTACCCTTGAATCTGCCCTGCAATAAGGCAGATGGCAGCACGTTGAATCTAGCGAGGGTAAATGACCGTCTGTATTTAGGTATTTGTAACTTTGACAAATAATTTGCTGGAGTAAATCCTCTCCCATTATCTTTTATTGCTGGGTGTTTATTCATCTCGCTCACTGTTGTGTTTTATGATTTTTTCTGATATTGTAAGTGAGCCAGAACTGGTCTGCGACCGTAATAATAAAATTCATTCATTCCCGCCCAGGTCTGCGCCAGATCACCATGACCAACACCTGGTACGGCTACAGTTCCCTCCAGCGCCTTCTCACCAGTGGCAACGCTGTGCTCCAGGATGCAGCCGTGTCAGACGGGGGAAGGAGGTAGGTGAGCAGGGTCATAGCTCAGCCCTTTCCTACCTGCCCCAACCTCCTGATTTATTTTCCACCCAGCTCCTTTAGTACCCTGCAGCTCATCAGGCCCTGGAGATCTGAATTCATTTAAAGTAGCCAGGTGTTCCCTTACCATCTCTTTTCCTATCTTGGACTGCAGCTCCCTCCCTCCATCATTGATTCAGTTAGAACCAGGTTGAGCATCACTTTCATTGTGGGTGAAGACAGAGGCAAAGTAGGTGTTGAGTAGTTCCGCCTTCTCTCTTGTCATTCAATAGCCTTTCCCCGTCTTCTCCATGCAGAAGACCCTCCACTTCTTCCTCTTACTTTGGACATAGCCCCCAACCCCTTTTTTATTATTCCTAACCTCTCTTGCAAGCCTGAGCTCATTCTGAGCTTTAGCCAGCCTGACTCCCCCCCCCCCCTGCAACTGCTGGCTACTCGTCCATACTCCTCCTTAGTGATTTCTCCCTTTTGCCATTTCTTGACTCTCAGCTCATCTGTAAGCTCCTTATGCAGCCACAGGGTTCCCTTAGATGCCTCCCGCTTTTCTTTCTTGTTGGAATTGTCTGCAATTGGGTCTTCAATATTTCTCCTTTTGGAAACTCCCATCCATCTTGGACTCCCTTCTCTTTGAGTATTTCTGACCGTGGGATCTCACCCAGTAGCTGCCTAAGCTTTTTAAAATTGGCCGCCTTAAAGTCCAGAGTGAATGTCTGACTACACTCAGCTTTCCCTTGCCTCTCTACCATGAAACCCAAGAGGACATGATCATTTCCTCTCAAGTTTCTGAGCACTTCCACTTCATCAATCATCTCCTCCCTGTTGGTGAGGACCAGCTCCAAGATAGATGATCCCCTTCTTGCTTCTTCCACCTTCTGGGAAATGAGACAGTCAGCGAGGCAGTGGAGGAATTTGTTGGACCTTACATTCTTGGCAGAGTTTGAATTCCAACAGATACTGGAGAAGTTGAGGTCTTCCATGACCACTATATCTCTCCTCTCCTCTGAACATGTGCAGAGGAGGGCAACCAAGATGATCAAGGGTCTGGAAACTAAGCCTTACAATGAGTGCTTGAAGGAGCTGGGTATGTTTAGCCTGGAAAAGAGGAGACTGAGAGGAGATATGATAGCTATCTTCGAATATCTTAAGGGCTGTCACATGGAAGAGAGAACAAGCTTCTTTTCTCCTGCTCTGGAGGGCAAGACTCAAACTAATGGAGATTCCGACTAAACATCCATGACAGATGGCCATCCAACCTCTACTTTATAACCTCCAAGGAAGGAGAGTCCACCACCTCCTGAGGGAGACCGTTCCACTGTCAAACAGCACTTTACCATCAGAAAGTTCTTCCTGATGCTCAGTCAGAATTTCTCCTTTGTTGTAACTTGAAGGCACTGGTTTGAGTCCTCACCTCCAGAGTAGGAGAAACAAGCATTCTCCTTCTTCCATGTGACAGCCCTTGAGATATTTGAAGTTGGCTCTAACATCTCCTCTCAACCTCCTCTTTTCCAGGCTAAACATACCCAGCTCCCTCAACTGTTCCTCATGAGACTTGGTTTGCAGATCCTTGATCATTCTTGCTTGCCCTCCTCTGCACACCTTCCAGCTTGTCAATAAACTGGACGCTTGCCCAGAACTGGACGCAGTATTCCTTGTGTGGTCTGACCAAGGCAATTTAGACTCACCTGAGCTAGGTGGACCAATGATTTTTCTTGGTATAAAACGGCTTCCTCAAGCAAATAATGGCACCATTCAGCCAAAGCTAAGCAGGACCAGGTCTGGTCAATATATAGGTGGGTGACCACCTGGGAACCAGATGTGTGTTTCCATGATGGAAAGAAGGATGTATATTAGGGTTGCCATGTTTCAAAAAGTGAAAACCCAGACACCAAAGTTGTTGCCTTGAGATGAAAACTGCAGAATCGAATTGTCTGGTTTTTGTGGGGGGGTGGACACAAGGTGGCGCTGTCACCATTTGCATTTCAGATAGGGAGGCGGAGCTTCTGTGGGCATGGGAACGGCAGAAATGGTTTATGGGCTAGGCAGGTGTGTGAGAGTGATTGTGGCTCATTCCCTCTTTATATTAATTAAAAGAAGTGCTAGGCTGGCTAAAGGAGAAGTTCAGGTCTGCCCAGGCAAAGGTATTTGCGTATGTTAACAATTCGTTTTGCAGATAAAACACCTTCAAGGTTTATTCTTGTATCTAATAAAGAGGGAAGCTCATGCCTGTTTAGGTACCACAAATCTCATCCATGTTTAAGAATCTGCAGCCTGGCTTTTTCCTTAAAAAAATAAAATAAAAATAAAAATTCAGGGCACTTTACAAAATTCAGTATAAAATCAGGAAATAACAAAAGTTTGCTATGAGAACCCTCAGGACAGCCATGAGCGTTCGTGAATTAAGCAGAATTGTCTGTGCAGCACACCTACAAATACAAATTAATGACTATTGAAAGCTCAGGTGAACAGAATGAAATTGGCCCTGGAGTCTAAAAGTGAGGGTCATCATGGCACCTCTGCTGTTTGTGGAACGCTCTCCCCGGGGAGGTGCCATCGCTACATATCTCCAGCGCCAGGCGAAAACATTCCTTTTAAACCAGGCCTTTGGCTTTTACCTATGCCTTTTATAGTGGGTGGGATGTTTTAATGTATGCCCTTCTCTGCCATATTTTAATGTATATATGTGGGCTTGTTCATTGGTGAGTGGTTGAGTTGCTTTGGCAAAAAAACAACAAACACAAAAGTGTCTGGTAAATAAATAAACAAACACTTTTTCCGTTTCTGCCCCAGGTATTTGAGCACGCAGGCAGGCTCCTCCATCATCTCCTCCTCTCTGGTCAGCGACTACGAGGAAATCAGCACCACTGTGCGTTACCGCCTCTGGCACCGGGTCCAGGTGAGGCTTTGCAGTCCATTCATGTGGGTTGAACCACAGAGCCTAGGACTTGCCGATCAGAAGGTCGGCGGTTTGAATCCCTGTGACAGGGTGAGCTCCAGTTGCTCGGTCTCAGCTCCTGCCAACCTAGCAGCTCAAAAGCATCTCAAAGTGCAAGTAGATAAATAGGTACCGCTCTGGTGGGAAGGTAAAGGGCGTTTCTGTGTGCTGCTCTGGTTCGCCAGGAGCGGCTTAGTCATGCCGGCCACATGATCCGGAAGCTGTACGCCGGCTCCCTCGGCCAGTAAAGCGAGATGAGCGCCGCAACCTCAGAGTCGGTCACGACTGGACCTAATGGTCAGGGATCCATTTACCTTTACCTTTACCTGCTGCAAATGGGCATATTTGTGGGTAAACATGTGGAGCAGGGGAGAAGATGACAATGGTTATGGAAGGGCATGAAGTATGTGGAAGAGCCATAGCTCATTTGCAGAGCAGAAGGTCCTGGGTTCGATCCCCAGCCACAGATCCAGGTACGGATGGAAGAGATTTCTGCTTGAAACTCTGTCTGTTGGTGTGGAGAAGTGGCTCCCCCACTTTTGGGGGCCACTGCCCCCTTGGTTTCATCAACTCATCCCTAGTGACCTTACTCTACCCTATAAAATGGATTATTCAGATTAACAGTTTGCACAACACACTAAAAAAAATCACAACACCGTCAAACAGTGTTGATTCCCCGTTTGTTCAAAATGCAGTTGAAACTAGTAAGTTTAACTAACTCAGCAAAACGGATGAACTTGAATTGATCCAGTGATACCAGAGCCTAGTTGTCACTTACACTTCCAGTGTCCCCCTGCTGCCCCCTACCTCTCAGTGCTCCCCAGATAATTCCACTGCCGCCCCCCCAGGGGTGCTACTGCCCATTTTGCGAACCTCTGAGCTATATAGATGGAGCAAAGGTCTGGTAACTTGCTATGTTCCTGTGAAGAGACACTGGTGCAGACCAGGGCTGGCCCAATATGTTTTGCTGCCTGAGGCAAAGGGTAAGATTGTGCCCTCCTCGCATTCCTCACCCAGAAGGTGAGTGGACCAGCAGGTGAAAGAATGAAAACAGAGTCCGACCTCACGCTTCAGAGAAGCAGGCTAGCTTAGGATGGCCAAGGCACAGATGGTGGCTTCAAGGAAGAATTGCTGGAGGTTAATGACAGGGCCGGCCCTGGTCGAGAATTGACTTTTTTTTAAAAAAAGAGTAATGTGCTTTTGTGCGCATACCCCAATCTTATGTTTGTGGATGACATGGAGGGTCAGAGACAGTCAATGAGGGAATGAGCCCAGTTCCTGCTTCTCACAATCTGATGCCTCTGCGTAGCCCCCAAGAAGGGCATGGGGAGATTTCCCCCTTCCGCCGCTGCACCCCAGCAACTGATGTTCAAAGCGTGCCGCTTCTGACCCTGGTCTGCATAGGCCATGGGTGTGGAGCTGGATCCATCCAGCAGCCTAGAGCCAGAACTCTCCCTCCCTCTGTGGGTCATTTTGGTAGGAAGGAAGAGCAGCCCACCAGTCAATTGCCTAGCATCATAGTGAGAGCCAGTGTGGTGTAATGGAGAGAGCGTTGGATTAGGACCTGGGAGAGCAGGGTTCGAATCCCCGCTCTGCAATAAAGCTCACTGGGTATGTCTGACTTTGGGGCAGTTGCTGCCTCTCAGCCCAGCCAGCTGCACAGATTGGTTGTGGGTATTAAATGGGGGGGGGGGGAGACCCATGCGCAGCACATTGAGCTCCCTGAGGGAAAAGATGATATATATTGTAAAGGTAAAATAAATAAAATAAATGTTTCAGGACTGAGCCTGGCAGCTTGTAAAAGAAAGTTCAGGGTTCTTCCTCTGGAAAGGAAATATTAGGAGCGCAGTCCCAATTCTCCATTTTCAGAGCGGCCCTTTCAGTGTTTGCTACTCTTGCGTCCGGCGATGTTGGGGAGATGGCCAGGTGGGTGGGGCCAATGAGGACGCCTCACAAAGCCTAATTAGGCCCACAGGTAGAGGTTCCATAACTGGAGTATATAGCCATTGTGGTTGATAGCCATGGGGAAAAAGGTAAAGGGTAAAGGGACCCCTGACCATTAGGTCCAGTCGTGGCCGACTCTGGGGTTGTGGCACTCATCTCGCTTTACTGGCCGAGGGAGCCGGCGTACAGCTTCCGGGTCATGTGGCCAGCAGGACTAAGCCGCTTCTGGCGAACCTGAGCACGGAAACGCCGTTTCCCTTCCCGCCGGAGCGGTACCTATTTATCTACTTGCTAGGTGGGCAGGAGCAGGGACCGAGCAACGGCAGCTCACCCCGTCACAGGGATCTGAACCGCCGACCTTCTGATTAGCAAGTCCCAGGCTCTGTGGTTTAACCCACAGCGCCACCCGCGTCGGTAGCCATGGGTAGCCTTGTCTAATTCATTTTTAAAGCTCTCCATGTTGCTGGTCATCCCAAGGTGGTGGTGAGCCCTTTTATTGTTTGTTTGTTTGTTTGTTTGTTTGTTTGTTTGTTTGTTTGTTGCATTTATGTCCCCACCTTTTCCTCCATGGCACTCTAACCACTACACGCCCCGGCTCCCCTTCCTCAAAGTGGCCCATGTAGCTGCAGGGTGGCTGCCTTTGTGTAACAGGCCACGTCCCAGCTGGTGCTGGTCGTGGTGGTGTGTTTGAACTGGCAGTGATCGAGAGGGTGGGGCTGACCCTGTTGTTTTGAGTGGGTCCCCTTTGGGGCTTGTTCCAGAGCTTGCTTCTCTGTAGGGCTCAAGACTCCCACTGTTTCCGTCCCACCGCAGGCTCTGCCAGACCAGTTTGTGGAGCCAGTGTGCGCTTTCTGGAACTTCAGCAGAAGGTAGGTAGCTCAGGAAAGGGGAACCGCCGTCTTGGCTGCATCGCGAAGGGAGCGATGGAGAGAGGAAGAGCTTCGCAGGCATGGAAGCTCAGATTGAGGGTGGGAGGGCAGCAGTCTGTAGGGTGGAGGGCCATAGAAGCACAGAGCTGTAGAACTGGAAGGGACCCCACGGGTCATTAGACCAACCCCCTGAAATCCAGGACTCACAAGTAAGGAATCCCTGACAGATGACCATCCAACCTCTGCTTTAAAATCTCCAGTGAAGTAGAATGAATGAACAAATCTTTATTTGCGTCAGCCATCGGCCATAGCAATAATACAACAATGTTGTTGTTGAGTCGTTTAGTGGTGTCCGCCTCTTCGTGACCCCCTGGACCAGAGCACGCCAGGCCCTCCTGTCTTCCACTGCCTCCCGCAGTTTGGTCAAACTCATGCTGGTAGCTTCAAGAACACTGTCCCACCATCTCGTCCTCTGTCGTCCCCTTCTCCTTGTGCCCTCCATCTTTCCCAACATCAGGGTCTTTTCCAGGGAGTCTTCTCTTCTCATGAGGTGGCCAAAGTCTTGGAGCCTCAGCTTCAGGATCTGTCCTTCCAGTGAGCACTCAGGGCTGATTTCCTGGGTAGGTTGGATCTTCTTGCAGTCCATGGGACTCTCAAGAGTCTCCTCCAGCACCAGAATTCAAAAGCATCAATTCTTCGGCGATCAGCCTTCTTGATGGTCCAGCTCTCACTTCCATACATCACTACTGGGAAAACCATAGCTTTAACTATATGGACCTTTGTCGGCAAGGTGATGTCTCTGCTTTTTAAGATGCTGTCTAGGTTTGTCATCACTTTTCTCTCAAGAAGCAGGCATCTCTTAATTTTGTGGCTGCTGTCACCTCTGCAGTGATACAACTATACGATTTGCAAAAAATAAAAATAAGAAGTCAACTATAAAAATACATTTTAGGGTTTTGAATCAATAGTCAAATAGTGGATCTTATTCTAATTGCCCCAGCTAAAAACCTTGCAACCTTTGCTGTCACCCCAGTGAAGCAGAGTCCACCTCTTTCGGAGGGAGTCCATTCCACTGTCAAACAGCTATTCCCATCAGAAAGTTCTTCCTAATATCTAGTCAGAATGCCTTTCTTGTCATCTGAATCCCTTGGTCTGGGTCCCACCCTCCAGAGCAGCGGAACAGCGGAAAACAAGCTTGCCATTTGAGAGGAATATCACTCTCTCATCTCCTTTCGGTCTCCTCTTTTGCAGGCTAAGCAGACCCAGCTCCCATGCGGAAGTCTGAAATCTGGGTCATAGTTCCTTCCTGTAAAACAGAGCTTTCCAAACTGTGTGCTGTGACACATTAGTGTGTCGGCTGCAGTGCGTAGGTGTGTCATACGAATGCTCCACACACTCCTCTCAGGAAAAGGAGCTAGTTTAACCTCCGGTTTGCTAGTAAAACTGTGTCTTGGAATGAAGACACATGTCTAAAAAGTGTGTCACCAACATGAAACGTTTGGGAAGCTGTGCTGTAAAATCTCTGGTTCTGGGGTCCACAGTATGGCACCTCTGGACACCCTCAGATGGGGAAGAAATTTGACTCGGTTCATATTTAGAGGCAGACAGTGGCGTAGCGTGGGTTGTCAGCACCCGGGGCAAGGCAAGTAATTTGCGCCCCCTAACCTGTGGATTTGCCCTAACCCCAGATGTTGCGCCCGGTGCGGCCGGCACCCCCAGCACCCCCCACGCTACGCCACTGGAGGCAGACATACCTGATTAGCAGTTTCTGAAACAAGATTTAAACCAAAACTCAGCTCCTCTTTGAAATCCACACCTTTCAGAATTTTTTGCAAAGCAGTTCTCCAGCCAAGTATAATAATAATAATAATAATAATAATAATAATAATAATAATAATAATAATTTATTATTTATACCCTGCCCATCTGGCTGGGTTTCCCCAGCTACTCTGGGCGGCTTCCAACTGAATATTAAAAACACAATACAGCATCAGACATTAAAAACCCTAACCCTAAACTTCCCTAATAAAATAAATACATATACTTGGGTTAAAAGTGTGAATAAAAATGCACATATTAGTGAAAATAATATACAACCGTGCGTTGTATTAGAGAAAATAGTTTTGCAGAAATGGATTTGTCAGCCAGAATTGCACACGCAAATGTGTATGTCAAGAGAAATTTGCACTAAAATGGCTGATGATTTCTCATGAGGACTTTTTCCAAATAAAAAGAAATTGCAAAGTCATGTGGAAGTGTGGAGAAAGGAACTCACTGATGGAAAAATGTGAAACTGACATTGAACGGTTCACTCATCCCTGCCTTGGTGCCCCCCAACACCCCCTGCCCCTCTGAGGTTTCGCCCCTCCCCTTTCAAATTGGGTTTTTATTGACTTATTTATTTGAATTTGTGTTTATTTGAATTGTTTATTTATTTGAATTTGTATTTGAATGGGAAGATGTTGCCACGCTTTGCCTGCTGCTTCAGGGGTGTTCTGTGCAATGTCAGTTTCCCCCCCTGTGAAATGGGTATTTATTTGTTCCCATGGCAGTTGCTTACATTTCCAAGCGTGCCTGAAAAATGGGAGACCCTTATGCCTCCTGTGTTCAGTCAGTCAACCAATTCACTCCCTTGCCTGAGATTGATAAGACTGTTATGTGTTTATTCTTAACACCCCAACCTGCTACGAGGAGCCTTTTGTTGCCGAGGGAGGCTCCCTTCTGCAAAGTTATTTGCAAATGAGTGACCTTTCCCTGGAGGCCCCACTGAATTATGCCTCCAGCCTGCGACAGAGGAGAGTCGCTTGGAGAATTATGGCCCGCGAGGAATGCAGGATGCTCAGTGCACCGTAAATATGGTCTGACGTGGGATGTTGTTTCCTTGTCTGGGTCATCAAGGAGCAGATGTGGGGCTTTGCCAAAATCTGCAGGGGCGGGGCTGTCCTTCACAAACCAGGATCCTTCTCAGGTCCATAACCTTTGTGCTCATTTGGAAAGGTGGCAGCACTTGGGACTCAAGGCGAGGAGGGGGTGACACGATAGACCCCTGCATGAAATACAAGGAAGCTCCCTATCTTCCTGTTTCATTCACCTCAAGCGCAGCGGTGAGGACTGGCACCTTGCTTTGTTTTTAAGGCATAGCTGTCAAGCGTCCCTTATTTGGCGGGACAGTCCCTTATCCCAGCGCCATGTCCCGCTGCTGTCCCTTATTGATGATGTCCCTCAACTAAGCTACTGAAGGTAATGGGGCCCTTTCTATGTCCAGCTGTCCTTTGTCAACAACAAATTGTTGCTTTTATTGTGTTGAATATATGCTATATGGCCATTTATGGACCTAATAGGTATCTAAAGCCATTTGCATGCAACAAAATATGTATTTTATCAAAGTAATTGTTGATCCCTTATTTTGGCTGCTGATCCCTTATTTTCAAGGCTGCTGGTCCCTTATTTTCAAATCTGTAAGTTGACAGCTATGTTTTAAAAGGGAGGCACCACGGCTCCGCGAAAAAGCAACTGCTCTGCATTTAGAAGGTCCCTGGTCCAATCCCTGGCATTTCCAGGTGGGGCTGGGTGAGACCCCCCCCCCGCCTGAAATCCTGGAGGGCTGCTGCCTGCCAGAGTTGACAGTGCATAGCTGGGTGGACCAATAGCCTTACTCAGCATAAGGCAGCTTCTTCTCACGTTCCTTCGGGGGAGGGGGCTGCTGAGGGGCTTGTTGTTCCTTCTTCCTGTCATGGTGGCTGGGACTGGGCTTACTGGAAACCCAGCTCTGCAGTTCGTTGGCCCAGTTCTTCCCAAACCTTTCCAGGGTTCCACAAACTGATTGCTGGTTCCGGCTTCCCTGTCAAAGGCCATTATTTGGAATAGCGGTTTGCTCCGCCCACTAAGGAGGAAAACAACACGATAAAATTCAAAGCAGCAGCAAATAATTGCACGTTTATTCGAAATCCAGTCAAAACTATTTGCTTTCATTCATGTGTTGGAGGGGGTTGGGCTAGATGATGATGATGATGATGATGATGATGATGATAATAATAATAATAATAATAATAATAATAATAATAATAATTTATTATTTGTACCCCACCCATCTGGGCAGCTTCCAACAGAACACTAAAATGCAATAACCTATTAAACATTAAAAGCTTCCCTAAACAGGACCCTCATGGTCCCTTTCAATACTACAATTCTAATTTAGCAAAATTGATGAGCTAGATCCAGTGAGTCTGGTGAGTCCTTTGCACCTCCAATACCCACCTCTGCTGCACCCTCTCCTCTTAATACCCCTCTAAGTAATCTCACTGCTTAAACCCTTGGGGGGGGGGTTGGTGGAGGTGGGGGGAGCACTCTGGTTTGGCTAAGAGGCCTCCATTTACCAGCAAGCCTTTCTGGGGCAACCAAAGCTCTGTGCTTCTCTCTGGTTTCAAGAGCTGTTTGCTGCTGGCTCCCCTCATTGGGTGCTGCTGGACTTGGAGATGATGATGATGATAATGATAATGATAATGATAATGATAATGATAATAATAATAATAATAATAATATATTATTTATATCCTGCCCATCCGGCTGGGCTTCCCCAGCCACTCTGCGCAGCTTCCAACAAAATATTAAAATACCGTAATGCAGCAAACATGGAAAGCTTCCCTGAACAGGGCTGCCTTCAGTTGTCTTCTAAAAGTCTGGTAGTTGTTGTTCTCTTTGACATCTGGTGGGAGGGTGTTCTACAGGGCAGGTGCCACTACCGAGAAGGCCCTCTGCCTGGTTCCCTGTAGCCTCACTTCTCGCAGCGAGGGAACCGCCAGAAGACCCTCGGAGCTGGACCTCAGTGTCTAGGCAGAACGATGGGGGTGGAGACGCTCCTTCAGGTCTACTGGACCGAGGCCGTTTAGAGCTTTAAAGGTCAGCACCAACACTTTGAATTGTTTGTCCTTTGGTCCCTGTTGGGCTTCTCCTCCCCCCCATCTCCTTTCATGCCCTGCTAGCCCCACAGGAGGAAGGGGAGGCGGCTGGTCGACTGCAGGCTGCTCTGTTGTCACCTCCCACCTGGAGTTCACCACCTGCTCTTGCAACCACACCACCAACTTTGCAGTGCTGCTGCAGGTCTACGAAGTGCAGGTGAGAGAGACGGAACCCTTTGCTTAAGGGAGCCAGGGGGTGGGCAGGTTGGGGGACCAGGGAAACAGGCCTTAGTGCCATCCCAAAATGTTTTTTCTTCCTGCAATGAATGGCAATGTGGTGCCTCTTCCTCCACCCCACATACAAAAGCCACAGGTTTGCACTGGCAGCTGGGTATCTCTTTCGCCACAGAGGTGTGTCTGGCACCTTCATTATACAGCTTTACTTGGATACTGAAGACACACTTCTTTACCTTGGCTTTTGACACTCGAGGTGTATATATTCAGACCCACCTAATTTCTGTAATTTTTGTTAGGAGAGCTTGCAGCCCGGGTAAATTAGATTGAAATAACCACTTACTGTTTCTGGAGTTCAAAGGCTTTATTCATGCAGGAGCTATTAACAGGATGAGTAGGGATAAAAGAGAGAAGTACCAGACATCTTGTCTCAACATGTTGGAAGAGAGAACACAAAATGGTTCAGCTTTTAGTGGTGCAGTTAACTTATAGAGGCCCCAAGCAAGTGTTGGATAGTTTGCTAGGCAAACAGCGTCCTCATGTGGTTTGAAGCAACACATGCATGAAATAGAAGCTCAAGAGAAGGAAATGTATTTGCTTTTCCCCAACAATTTTAAGTTGTTTTAAACTGATTTTAATGTTGTGCTTTAGTTGTAGTAACCTGCCCTGGGACTTTGGGGTGATGAATGGGTAATAAATGGTAGTAGTAGTAGTAGGAGGAATAATAATAATAATAATAATAATAATAATAATAATAAGGCAGTCCACCACACCTCAGTCAAGTGGGCTTTTTGAGGGCGGGTGGGGGTGGTTTGCAGGACATCCTGTGTGGCCTACCCAGCTCTATCCACCAATAAAAGGGAATGGCTGGGGAGGGGCTTGTGTGGAATAGCCAGGGGTTGCACCTACCCCAGCACCCACCAACTGAGGCAGCTGCCTCACTTTGCCTAACAGTAGAGCTGACCCTGCTTAGCAAGTTGTTCCTGTGTGTTTGAGCAGAGGAGTGCAGAGGAGTCGTCAACCCTGAAGACCTTGACCTTTGTCGGCTGCGGTGTCTCGTTCTGTGCCCTGATCGTCACCTTTGTCCTCTTCCTGGCAGTTGGGTAAGGCTGGATCAGGGCCACGTCTCCAGAAGCAACACGGGTGTGGGATGGGGGTGATTTCCTTACAGAAGGACATCATGACACTCTGTTGGATCAGGCCAATGGGGGCCCATCTGGTCCAGTATCCTGTTCTCACAGTGGCCCCCCATGATTGCAGAGGGAGACCCCAGAAGCAAAATCCGAGCACAAGAATCTTCTTGTGCTATCCTGGATACCCCCCCCCACACACACACACACCAATCTAAGATCTAGGCAGCTGCCCCAGGTCTGTGCTCTGTGAAGCACTTGCAGCAACCAGGAACCACTCCCCCATATGCACCTTTCCCCAGTGGGCTGTGTGCATGTAGCCAGAGGCTACACCTGCATGGAAGATAACTCTGCTCTTCCCTCTTCAGCCCCTTCCTGGTTTGGGAGACAAAGTGCAGGGGAGCCGCCTGGCGGTTCACTTGCCCGGCCTGCCTCTTCCTCCAGCTTGGAAGCTGCCTCTTCCTCTGATTCCTGGCTGCCACAGGCCCCCACAAACCACTGCCCCCCGCTCCTGAGTCCGACTCCAAGCCCCCTTCCCCCAGTGCACACTCGTCAGTGCCCTGCCAGTCCCTGCCAGATTCCTGCCTCCAACTGTGGAGACAGAGCAGAGCCATAATAATAATAATAATAATAATAATAATAATAATAATAATAATAATAATAATTTATTAATACCCCGCCCATCTGGCTGAGTTTCCCCAGCCACTCTGGGCGGCTTCCAATCAAGTGTTAAAAACAATACAGCATTAAATATTAAAAACTTCCCTAAACAGGGCTGCCTTCAGATGTCTTTTAAAGATAAGATAGCTGCTTATTTCCTTCACATCTGAAGGGAGGGCATTCCACAGGGCGGGCGTCACTACTGAGAAGGCCCTCTGCCTGGTTCCCTGTAACCTCACTTCTTGCAATGAGGGAACTGCCAGAAGGCCCTCGGAGCTGGACCTCCGTGTCCAGAAAGAATGATGGGAGTGGAGACACTCCTTCAGGCCAAGGCCAAGGCCATTTAGGGCTTTAAAGGTCAACACCAACACTTTGAACTGTGCTCAGAACGTACTGGGAGCCAATGCAGATCTCTCAGGACCGCTGTTATGTGGTCCCATCCCTAGTCTGCCCCCTATTCCTCCATGAATTTGTCTCATCCTCTTTCAAAGCCATCCCTGTTGGAGGCCATCCCTGCCTCCTGTGGTAGTGAGTTCCAAAGGACCGGACAAATTAATGGAGATGGAGGAGGAGGAGGAGGAAGGCTATTGATGGCTCCTTGCCAGGAAGGCTCTGCTCCGGCTCCACAGTTGGAGACAACGGTGCTTCTGAATGCCAGTTGCTGGAAACACCAGGAGGGGAAAGGGCTGTTTGGCCACTGTGAGAACAGGAATCTGGGCTAGGTGGACCATCAGGGACCTAATCCTGCAGGCATGCTTTGTTCCTTATGAAGGGGTGCAAAGCGCTCCCTGTTCTTGCTGGAGTACTTGGCATGAGTCGTTCCTGACTGTGGCTCCACCGTAGGGGTCAGGCATTGCAGGGACTCCAACTCTCATCAGCCCCAGCCAGCAGAGTGCATGGTCATTGGGGGGGGGGCTGCAGGTTCTGCATCCCAAGAATGTTATGGGACTTGACCAGCAGGGGGGGCTGGGTATCCGGAATGGCACTCCCAGAAGTGTTGGTTCTCCAGGGTGAGAGGTGGGGGGGGGTGGAGGAGAGGTCCCAGGTGGGAGCTGGGAGGGGGCTGCTACCCCCTGTAGGTGGGGGGTAGGGGTTAAGAACTGCCTCTAGGAGAAGTCTCCATATTATACATATTCAGTTTGTAGCTTTCATAGCTGTTCTTGTAGTGTGAAAAAACTTTAGTAATTTTTAAAAATTTGAACAGTCAGAAAAGGGGGGGCGGTGCACTCCCAACTTTGTTTCTTTTTTTAAAAAAAAGATTTTTATTGATACAGCAAGAAAAAAGAAAAAAACCCAAATACCAAATTACACACAGGAATGACCATAGACACATAATTTTCTTAGCAAACAATAAAACATGTATTGGTCTTAACACTAAAGACCCAACCTTTTCTTAATATATCTAATTTCTTATATCTACCTTGCAACCATTACTGAAGTTCCTCAAATGCTGCAACAGAATTTAAACTACTATATTTATTTTTCAGATATTCTTTGAAAACCTCCCATTTAGAAACAAATTCCTGTTTTGATTTATTCTTTATTTTTTTTCTGATAGACCATCTAATTCGGCATATTCTGTCAGCTTTTGGAGCCAATCTTGTATAGAGGGGGTTTCATTCCTTTGTTTCTTGATTCCCATCTCCCCATCCTCCCTCCCTCCCTCCCTCCCTCCCTGCAGTGTCCCCAAGAGCGAGAGGACCACGGTGCACAAGAACCTGATATTCGCGCTGGCAGCTGCAGAGGCCTTGCTCATGTTCAGCGAATTGGCCAAAACCAACCAGGTAGGAAGGGCAGCCAGCTGGGAGAGACCTCAGGGGGGACCTACCTGCCTTTGCCAGCAGGACAGAGACCTGTTCCTGCCAAGGGATCCCTCGCCCCTCACTCCTCACCTCCCACGGCCTCCTGCCCTTCCTTCCCTTCCTCTCCCCAGGGAGTGTGCTTTGCCGTCACGGCCTTCCTGCACCTCTTCTTCATGGCTGCCTTCGCCTGGATGCTGGTGGAAGGTCTCCTCCTGTGGAGCAAAGTGGTGGCTGTGAACATGAGCGAGGACCGGCGGATGCGGTTCTACTACGTGACTGGATGGGGTCTGTGTCCCAGTGGTGATGAGGGAGGGAGGGAAAGAAAGGGCAGGCAGCCAAGTCGACTTCTGATTCTCCTCCTCCTCCACCATCTTTTGAAAGCCCAGACTCCTGCAGATGGCTCGATCCGGTTTAGACAAACCCTGTTCCCATCTTAACCACTGTACGGTGAGGTGGATCTGTGACCGTGGCCGTTGGGTGATTAGTTGCCAGGGGCTGCCCAAATGGCTCAGGCAACTGCCTCAGGCAGCAGGGGCAGTTCCTCAGGTATTCACCTGGAGCTCCTCAGGTGTCCCCTCTGCCTCTCCTGCTCTGCCTAAGCCAGTCTGCTTCTCTTTTCTCACAGAATCTGAGTTGTAAGGGACCCTGCAGTGCAGGTATCTCAGCTCAAGCATCCCTGACAGGTGGCCACCCAACCTCTGTGTGGAAACCTCTAACCAAGGAGAGTCCATCACTTCCCAAGGGAGTCCGTTCCACTGCTTAGCAGCTCTTACTGCCAGAAGGCTCTTCCTTTGAACATAAGGAATCTTCTTTCCTGCCACTGGAATCGATTGTTTCAGGTCTTATCCTCCAAAGCAGAGACAAACAAGTTCCCTGCATCTTCCTTGTGACAGCCCTTTAGATATTTGAAGATGGCTTTCACATCATTTCCATAGGTGAAATAAGATCCAACTGCTTCTTTGTTTGGATCAGGTTCTGGGGTGATGGGGAGGGGGCAACTCATCCATTTTTGCCCCAGGCAACTATGTGTTTTGGGCCAGCCCTAGGTGACTGTTCATAGCTCAAAGAGGAAAGAACAAAAGGCCTTTGAGCTGTGGCTGTCCATTGGGTGCTCAGGTTGACCTGAAATAAGTTTTATTTGAACCGGAAGCAGCTGGGAAGGCCCTCCAAACATTGGGGTTTTGTGGGGGGTATTCTGAAACATGCTGCTGATGCCATAACAGTGCATTAGCAATTGTTTGACACACATTGCCCCACTTTATTAGTAGTTTTGCAATGCTTCCCAGGGTGACCACATTACAGTGGTACCTCGGTTTAAGAACAGTCTGGTTTAAGAACGATTCGGTTTACGAACTCCGCAAAACCGGAAGTAGTGTCCCGGTTTGAGAACTTTACCTCAGTCTAAGAACGGAATCCAAACGGTGGAAGGGCACTGGTGGTGGAGGCCTCATTAGGGAAAGCACCAGGGCTGTCTTACCCATAGGCACTAGGGGTGCGGGGCACGCGGGTGCCGGGCTCTCAGGGGCACCAGGCCAAGAGTCCAGGGCCCGAGAGTCGAGTCTGGGGAAGAGCCCACCCATCGGTCAGAGCGCCGCGGTGGGCTCTTCTGCTGCAGACGGCTCTGTGCTGCGAGTTTGGGGGCAATCAAACCAGCAAGACGCTAAGGCAGCCGGCCGGCTTCCCCCTCCTGCATGCCTGGGACTGGGCAATTGGGGGGCACTGGGCACATCTTTGCACCCCAGTGCCACATATGCTTAAGACAGCCCTGGAAAGCACACCTTGGTTCAAGAACAGTTTCGGTTTAAGAACAGACTTCTGGAACAGATTAAGTTCGTAAACCAAGGCACCACTGTACGGCCATCCTGAGGGGCATTCTCGCCCCATCGCATTGCAGAAGGGGCTCAACCAGTTGTCCTCCAACTCTAATCATAGTATGAAATGTTGCAGGATTTCAGCAGGGGGATAAGGGAGCCTGTGCTGAGTCAGAAATGAGGCAGTATAACCATAGAGCATAGCTACAGCCCAAAAGCTTTTGCATCCCCTCCTCTGATGAAAATAGGGACATCTTCTTCTACATCAGGAAGTTTCTCCCGCTGCACGCATAGACATCACCTGCACATCAACATGGGTCACCTTGAGCCAGTTACAACCTCTCCGCTGAAGCTACCTTGCAGAATTGCTGTAAGGAAAAATGTGCGAGGGCAGGGATCATTTATAACACTTTCCACAGATTAACAGAATGAAATAAATTTTAGCCTATAAGCTCCCTTGAGGGGAAAAGATGTTAATGATAACGATAATGGAAACTGGGAGAATTATCCAGAACATACCAGCAAATAAATCCTGTTGAACTCAGTGGGACTTAGTTCTGAGTAAAAATGCTTAGGATTGCAGTCTAAGTCTTTACCCAGTTATCTGGGAGTAAGTTCCATTGAATACAGTGGGACTTCTTTCTGAGTAGGCTATCTACAATAAAGGAATCAACACTCCACACATTTCCTAATAAATGGCTGGCTGCTGAAGCTTTGCAATTAAATAATTCAAAGTGGATTTATTACATTTTCTGTCAAGATTATAGGAAGTGCTTCGTATGCCAGCCTCACCATTCCTTCATTTGGGGCAGGTATTTTATTTCCAGTATCATCAGCACCCACCTGCCCTCCCACACCACTTTGAATTGTTCTCTGAGATGTGAAGGGGAGGAAAAAAGGGAAAGTGGGACATTCCAGCATCACTTCAGAAACTGGGACAGCTTCTATAATTCCAGGACAGTCCCTGGGAAACTGGGACACACGTGTAACTGTCCTGCCGAGATACCACCATGAGAACAAATGGTCATGAATGCACAATAGAAAGGATGCGTGGAGAGGCCCCCTGTGTCCTGCTGAGAAGCAAAGGAAAATGGGCTCTTAGGCGGTCTCCTGAGACTGGCCAACTGGATAAGGCCCCCAAGTCCCACCCCAAGCCTTGGGCCCAACAGCTTAAGTTGCCCCAGGGCAGGTGGTATGCAGAAGGAAAGTTGGCAGTTCACCGTCCTTCCCTGCTTGCCTCTTCAGGGCTTCCTGTGCTTATTGTTGGTGTGACCCTGGCCACGTCGTTCAACAAGTACGTGGCAGAGAACCATTGCTGGCTGAACGTGCAGACGGACATCATCTGGGCTTTTGTGGGGCCGGTCCTCTTCGTCCTGACGGTGAGTGTGTCAGGAAAGGGGGGGCCTCCTCCTTTCATTGGCGGGGTTTGCAATGCAAAAGGTTCTTGCCACCATGTGTGGCAGTGTTAAGGGAGAAATCTGAGGGCTCCCTTGGACAAAAAAGAAGGACACCAGCCAGGAATCCCAGAGCAAAGCAGCAGCCAGTAGGCTTGGTCTTTATTGAAGACTGTCGTGACAGGACTCCCACCTGCCACAAGGTGGAACAAGATGGAAGCCCCAAACAAAAGAGAACCCAAAACTTTTATTAGTTGCTAATCCCCATGTTACATCCCCCCCCAAACTACATCACTCATACATCACAATTACATCATGAAAGGGGAGGTCTGGTGCCAGGAATCTGAGCATCCTGGACCCTGCCCCATGGTTCCCCTTTCATGATGTAACCGTGATGTATGAGTGATGTAGTTTGGGGAGGATGTAACATGGGGATTAGCAGCTAATAAAAGTTTGGGGGCTCTTTTGTTCAGGGCTTCCATCTTGTTCCACCTTGTGGCAGGTGGGAGTCCTGTCGCGACAGTCTTCAGTAAAGACCAAGCCGACTGGCTGCTGTTTTGCTCTGGTATTCCTGGCTGGTGTCCTTCTTTTTTGTCCAAGGGAGCCCTCAGATTTCTCCGTTTTGAGCAGGATTGGGTTCATGTGAACAAATGTTGGGATTCAGTGGTTTTCAAACTCGGCGTCTTCACAAGACAAAGAAGAACTCTGCAGACCACAGGGTGTGTTTACTTTCCATGTGTGTGGGAGATGACTCTGTTTTACACAACAACATACTGGGGGGGGGCAGTGTTTCCGTGTTCCCTGAGAGGAGGATTCTGGGAAATCTTCCCCCTCCACAACTGCCACCTCTTAAAGCCTCTGACTGCTGTTTCAGGTCCAGTCCCTGACCCTCTCGCCCCTCTCCTTTGCAGGTGAACACCTTTGTGCTTTTCCGAGTGGTGATGGTGACTGTCTCCAGTGCACGGCGACGGTCAAGGATGCTGACCCCTAACAGCAGCTTGGAAAAGCAGATTGGCATCCAGATCTGGTGAGTCCCGGAGGCCCCTGGGGGCTGCCCCCGCCCCCTCCAGAGAAGGGCACCAGAGAAGCAAAGGACATCTATCTGAATGCCATTTGCTAGGGAGAAGAAGTGTGAGAGCCAGTAGTGATGTAGTGCTTGGAGGGTCAGACTAGGACCGGGGAGGCCAGGATTCGAATCCACGCCTGGCCAAGAAGCTCACTGGGTGTCCTTGGAAGCCAGTCGCTGCCTCTCAGCCTCGCCTACCTCACAGGGCTGTGAGGAGGGGAGAACCATGTACACAACCTAGAAGCAACTTCGGGGAAAAGGTGGGATATAAATACTTTAAACAATAAAATAGAATCAGAGGCCACATTCCCACCATACATTTAAAGTGTTGCAATACCGCTTTGAACGGTCATGCTGTCCACAAAGAGCTTTGGGAGCTGTAGTTTACTAAGGTTTACTAATTGTTAGGAGACACCCTGTTTCTCTCAAAGAGCTATACTTCGCAGAGTTCCCTGAGAAAGAGGGATTGATTGTCTTTTTTAAAGTATTTTTTAAAAAATAAAATAAAATTTGCACATGTAACGATTGAAACATCATGCATCATAAAAACAGCAATAATGTCAAGAGGAATAAAAATACAAGATAATACAGCTTAAAAAGGATAAATAGTGTAAAATATATTCCATAGTTGATATTTATTCAAAATATATCAAGCATTCATAAACCTTGACAGATTAAATAATATTTAGTAGGAATGCGCCAGCCATGAGATCGTTTGGTCATGTATATTTAAATGGGAGGGATTGATTGTTAGTGTGCTCTGGAAACAGCAGCTCTGGGTGGGGAATAGGTGCCTCCTAAATAACTCCCTTAGCAAACAAGCTGCTACTGCTGCTTGAATTTGTCCACTGCCCTTCACCTGAAGGCCACAGGGTGGTTCACAACGTCAGCTGCACCTCCCAGGATTCTCTGGGGGAAGCCACAATGGTTTAAATTGGTATCCTAGTGCTTTAGTGTGAACATGGCCATAGAAGTCATGGCCATAGAGTTGGAGAGTTGGAGGGAAGTGGGTGGCGCTGTGGGTTAAACCACAGAGCCTAGGGATGAGCTCCGGTTGCTCAGTCCCTGCTCCTGCCAACCTAGCAGTTCGAAAGCACGTCAAAGTGCAAGTAGATAAATAGGTACCGCTCCGGCGGGAAGGTAAACGGCATTTCCGTGCGCTGCTCTGGTTCGCCAGAAGCGGCTTAGTCCTGCTGGCCACATGACCCGGAAGCTGTACGCCGGCTCCCTCGGCCAATAAAGCGAGATGAGCGCCGCAACCCCAGAGTCAGCCACGACTGGACCTAATGGTCAGGGGTCCCTTTACCTTTAGAGTTGGAAGGGATCCTGAGGATCATCCATTCCAACCCCCTGCAAGACAGGAATGTGCAATAGCAGCTGATGCCCATTGGGAATAGTAGAGAGGAGGACAAGGAGATGAAGGCAGAGTGAATGACAGGCAGGGTCACCCCCTGGCCAGTTATAAGTAAGAAGACAGGCTGAGGTTGATGGGGCCCCATTTGCCCCAATAGACCAGCTTGCACAGCTTGAAGCCATTGGTTTGAGTCCTACTCTCCATAGTAGGAGAAAACAAGCTTGCTCCCTCTTCCACCTGACAGCCCTTGAGATATTTGAAGATGGCCATCATGTGTCCTCTCAGTCTCCTCTTTCCCAGGCTACACAGACCCAGCTCCTTCAAGTGTTCCTTATAAGCCTTGGCTTCCAGACCCTGGATCATCTTGGTCACCCTCCTCTGCACACCTTCCAGCTTGTCAACGTCCTTCTTAAATTGTGGTGCCCAGAATTGGACACAGAATTCCAGATGTGGTCTGACCAAAGCAGAATAGAGTGGGACTATGGCTTCCCTTGATCTGGACACTTGACTTCTGTTGATGCATTTGCCTTTTTTTGCTGCTGCATCACCCTGCGGACTCATGTTGAGCTTGTGATCCACTAAGACCCCTAGATCCTCTCCACATGTCCTGCTAGTCAGCCAGGTGTCCCTCGTCTTATATTTGTGAAGCTGCCTAAGTGCGGAACCTAAAACAAACCCCTGTGTTGCCATAAGAACCAAGCACAACAATACAAACACAACATGTAGTCTTAATAGTTAGTAGAAAATATATAATAGAACAATGATATCATTCAGATTATAGGAGTAAGCCAATCAAAGTTCGTATGTACAATATAACAGAGTGGTAACGAGGACCGTCAAGCCGTGTGTTCAAAACAGATGTCTAAGGACAGTTTCACAATAGTCTTTCAGTAGTTTCAACAGAAGACGTCTCAAAGGCTTCAAAAGTTCATTTTGTACTCATTTAACAAAAGCTCATTTAATACTATTCCTCTGTATATTTGTTTTTCATGGGTCTACTTTGTTTCTGCATGCTGTATATGCCATACTGTTCCTTTAAGTATATCGTTAATGGGAACACTTGTGACTTGCTTCCTATGTCCTGTGCAATTGTGTATCAAGTATCAGCAGCTACACTATCTAGTGAGCACTGATCCTTAGCATGAATCTCACTTACATATTCTGTTGAAGAATATCGGGTATGTACCTTTATTTATTCGGTTTTGTATATTCTGCTTTATTTTACAATGTGTATGCAGGTAGCTCAGTTCATTCATTCATCGGTTGTATGCCTTGTATCTTATTTCCAGCTGATGAAGACTATTACAAAACAGTAGTATCATTCCGGAGACACTGTCCTTTTGAGGCTTTTGAGATGTCTTCCGTTGAAACTTTTGAAAGACTATTGTGAAACTGTCCTTAGACTGCAATGCGCTCTATGTGGGGCTACCTTTGAAGGTGACTCGGAAACTACAACTAATCCAGAATGCGGCAGCTAGACTGGTGACTGGGAGTGGCCACAGAGACCATATAACACCGGTCTTGAAAGACCTACATTGGCCCCCAGTACGTTTCTGAGCACAATTCAAAGTGTTGGTGCTGACCTTTAAAGCCCTAAACAGCCTCGGTCCTGTATACCTGAAGGAGCGTCTCCACCCCCATCGTTCAGCCCGTACACTGAGATCCAGCGCCAAGGGCCTTCTGGCGGTTCCCTCACTGCGAGAAACCAAGTTACAGGGAACCAGGCAGAGGGCCTTCTTTGTGGTGGCACCCGCCCTGTGGAACGCCCTCCCACCAGATGTCAAAGAGAAAAACAACTACCAGACTTTTAGAAGACATCTGAAGGCAGCCCTGTTTAGGGAAGCTTTTAATGTTTAATAGGTTATTGTATTTTAGTGTTTTGTTGGAAGCTGCCCAGAGTGGCTGGGGAAGCCCAGGCAGATGGGCGGGGTATAAATAATAAATTATTATTATTATTATTATTATTATTATTATTATTATTATTAGACATCTGTTTTGAACACACGGTTTGACGGTCCTCATTACCACTCTGTTGCATTGTACATACGAACTTTGGTTGGCTTACTCCTATAATCTGAATCATATGATTATTCTACTGTATATTTTCTACTAACTATTAGCCTCCGTGTTGTGCTTGTATTATTGCAAGTGCAGAACCTGACATTTGTCCCTGCTGATGTTCATTCTCTTAGCTTGGGCCCAGTTCTCCAATGTGTTCCGGTCATTTCGAATTCTGTCTTCTGTGGCATTAGTTACCCCTCCAAATTTGGTGTCATCTGCAAACTCTATCAAAAAAGAAATGGGAGTCATCTGACATGGCTTGTTTTTGAGACCTGTGTTGAGACTTAGTAATCACAGTAAAAAGGTAAAGGTAAAGGTACCCCTGCCCGTACGGGCCAGTCTTGCCAGACTCTGGGGTTGTGCGCCCATCTCACTCAAGAGGCCGGGGGCCAGCGCTGTCCGCAGACACTTCCGGGTCACGTGGCCAGCGTGACATCGCAGCACACGGAAACGCCGTTTACCTTCCCGCTAGTAAGCGGTCCCTATTTATCTACTTGCACCCGGGGGTGCTTTCAAACTGCTAGGTTGGCAGGCGCTGGGACCGAGCAGCGGGAGCGCACCCCGCCGTGGGGATTCGAACCGCCAACCTTTCGATCGGCAAGTCCTAGGCACTGAGGCTTTAACCCTCAGCGCCACCCGCGTAATCACAGTAATTATCACCAACTTGCTCCCCTGATGCTGACTTTGGCTACAGATGAGTTGACTGCCTCCTTTTTCTCTTGCCTCCCACCCCCCAACCCCCATTGTCCTCTTCCAGGGCAACAGCCAAACCAGTGCTGGTTCTGCTGCCAGTCCTGGGTCTGACCTGGGTGTGTGGTGTTCTTGTGCACGTCAGCATCACGTGGGCCTACATCTTCATTGTGCTGAACTCCCTCCAGGTAAGCTGCCTCGGAAGGTAGACCTTCCCTGCAAAATATCTCTCAGACACGTGTGTATGTTCGTACACACACACATACACAGACACGGGGGTCAGTTGCCCATGCTGGAGGCTGCGCCTTGTGACGGCAAAGATGCCTTTGAGCACATGCAGAGTGCCTTTCCCCTCACCCTCAGGGAGGAAGAGCTTGAGCTTCAGTCGCTTGAACATTCTGCCCAGAGCTGGCCTTGCAATATCCAACACTGTGCAGCAGGGGAGGCCATGACCATACCAGCTTTCTGCTGTTTGGCCACGGCTGGAATCGCTCCTTCTTGCTCAGCGGCTGCTTCTCCTCCATCCAGCAAGAGCTTCTTTCAGATGTTGTTCAATTCACACAGGTAACTCACAACCTGTGCGATTTCAACCTTATGCGCTAGCCAACTGGCCAGTTGCAAATCACGCAAATTAAGCGCATGCAAGTCTGAGAGCTTAAAAGCTCTTTCTGTGGCGCGGGGAAACCTTTTAAGCTCTGTGCCTTGCTCAGCGGCCAATTCCATGTGAGGAATACAGTAATTCCCAGAGCCCAGTAAGCAAGGAGGGGAGCTTCCAACCTCTGCCTTGCTTTGGGGGCAAGGACCGCTTGGCTCACAGCTTCAGAGAGGGAAGGTCACTCATGCGGGGGGAGGTTGCAAGGGTGGTTCTGACTAGACCTCATTCTGGCCTTACGCTCTGTCCCCAGAACATAACCCTCAGGCAAGCAGTGAGTGACCTGTATTGATTTGGTTTGATTTGAATTAATTTTATAATGAAATGATTTTAGAATGTTGTATTATTTTATTGTTGTTAGCCGCTCTGCTTCAGCTGGGGAGGGCGGGATATAAATAAAATTTTATTTATTTATTATTTATTATTTATTATTTATTATTTATTATTGAAGAAACAGTGGCTCCTTCCTTCCAAAGTCTGTCTCCCTCCTCCCTTCCACCCTTCTAGCACACCTGTCCATTTGAAGGGACCCCTTTCTAGTCAAAATACGACTAGATACCTGAATCAGAGTAGAATTACAGAATCACAGAACTGTAGAGTTGGAAGGGACCCTGCCGTTTCCATCACAAGCCCAACCTTATTCAACATGGAAATCACAACTGCAGTGTCCCTGACGGATGGGTGCCCAAGAAAACATCCAAGGGAGGAGAGTCCTTCTGAGGGAGTCTGGTTCTTGTTGTTGTTGTTGTTGTTGTTTAGTTGTGTCCGACTCTTCGTGACCCCCTGGACCAGAGCACGCCAGGCACTCCTGTCTTCCACTGCCTCCCGCAGTTTGGTCAAACTCATGCTGGTAGCTTGGAGAACACTGTCCCACCATCTCGTCCTCTGTCGTCCCCTTCTCCTTGTGCCCTCCATCTTTCCCAGCATCAGGGTCTTTTCCAGGGAGTCTTCTCTTCTCATGAGGTGGCCAAAGTATTGGAGTCTCAGCTTCAGGATCTGTCCTTCCAGTGAGCACTCAGGGCTGATTTCCTTCAGAATGGAGAGGTTTGATCTTCTTGCAGTCCATGGGACTCTCCAGAGTCCCCTCCAGCACCAGAATTCAAAAGCATCCATTCTTCGGTGGTCAGCCTTCTTTATGGTCCAGCAGCTAAAGTGGCACATCAGGTTAAGAACAGTTTCAGGTTCAGAACGGACCTCCAGAACGAATTAAGTTCTTAACCCGAGGTTGCTGGATCAGGCCAGTGACCATCGAATCCAGCACCCAGTTCTCACAGTGTCCCACCATCTCGTCCTCTGCCGTCCCCTTCTCCTTGTGCCCTCCATCTTTCCCAACATCAGGGTCTTTTCCAGGGAGTCTTCTCTTCTGTCTGGTTCTACTGTCTCATAACTGCCAGAAAGTTCTTCCTCATGTTTAATTGGAATTCCCATTCTCGCCATTTGAATCCATTGGTTAAGGGCCTCCCCTCCAGAGCACCAGGAAAGGTAATTTGGGAATCTCCTGTGAAAGGCTAGGAAGGAGGTGTCCATCACACAAAATTGAGCTTTAGTCAGAGAAGTAATTGCTTTCATGAAACAAGACAAGCGGACATTCAAAGGACCATACCTTCCTCCCCCAATCGGCTCTGCTCCGAGCACCGGTGCCAATAGGAGGGAGGGGAGTGTTTCTTCTGAGGATGAGCAGCCGCCCTGCATCATCCTCGAAGGTTATATGAGTGCCAGAGTGTGCAGCACTCCTGCCCCAGCCTGTGGAGGAGTGGGGCTTGTTGCACAGATGCCGGCCACAATTACTGCATCAGCTGCAAAGCTTCCTGATAGCTGGAGGAACACAGGAAGTGATTCTCTCCTGATAAGGGGGCAAAGCATCAGAGGAGCGCAGCAGGAGGGTGTAGTAATTATGAGAGGAGCCTCTTCTCCCCGTCCCAGTGCCAAACTCAGGGACTGAAGAGCAGGATGTTTAAGTTGGGGGGGGGCGGGGGAGAGGGATGCACTAGGAAAACTCTTGGCCGGCAGTTGTGTTTCTGAAGGTTCATCATCCGAGACTTCTGAGGCGGCTTCCTCTCTCAGAGCGCAAGAGAAAGAAATTGACAAAAGGAAGTGTCATTTCACACAAGGCACATTCGTATTGTATTTGTTTGAGACATCCCTGAACCGCTCCTTGTTGCAAGTTGTGCCAGCTCTAGAGCGGAAAACGCCAAATGTCCTGAGAGGAGGAAGAGGAAGAGGAAGGGTAGGCTTGTGCATGCAGTGCCACTTTTATTTTGAAAAATGCCCAAAGGCCCTTCGTTATGACCAGACAAAATGTCACAAAATAGTGAGGCGAGCTTCTGAGTCCACCAGAGCTCCTCTTCTTCAGTATGTGGGCAGGGGTGGGGGGGCTGAGGGAAACAAAGAGTTGGCTAGGGATTGAGGCCATATTAGTCCAAAGTTAATTTTTGATGTATGCTGCCTTAGAAGGGGGCTGGTGTGGGGGCACACACACACACACACACACACACACACACCTGTGTTTTACCTCCAAAGTTGGAGGCAGTTTGTTTCAGTTACTAGGAATAAAAAACGGAGGGGACCCTTCCTCTCACTTTGTCTACCCCACACTTTCTCTTTTCTTTGTCCTCCTTTCCCCCTGGATGAATTAAGCCAACAGTCGCATGAAATCAGGCCAAGGGCTGGCAGTTGCCCGTATCTTTGCGAAAGGGACAGTTCTGCCCCTAGGTAGGGAGAGAGACATCGTTTGGCCTTCCCTGTATGTCTGTTTGGGGGGCTAACAAAGCAAGGATGCTGCCCCAGCGGCTGTTTCCAGGTCCCTGGCATGGATTCTTCCCTCTGTCTTCCTACAGGGTCTCTACATATTCCTGGTCTATGCCATCTACAACAGCGAGGTAAGGGACAGCAACACTACGCAAGGGGGGCGCATTTGGCACCCCGTTTTCTCTGCAACAACTCTTCAGACTTTGAAAATGGGCTTGGAAGGATGTGATCAATGGCTTGTGAAACCAGCTAGCAAAGGGCACCTACCCTCACGGTGACGGCCTTGGGGGTCCCTGAAATCTGCTGGATCCTCCCGGGTGTGTGTGTTTGTGTGTGTGGTGGCATTCTGACTCCTTGCCATTCTGCTGCTGAGATCTCCTAGGGCAGGCATGGCCAAACTCGGCCCACCAGCCGTTTTGGGACTGCAGTTCCCATCATCCCTGACCACTGGTCCTGTGAGCTAGGGATGGTGGGAGTTGTAGTCCCAAAAGAGCTGAAGGGCCGAGTTTGGCCATGCCTGTCCTAGGGTCATCCAAGTTCCCACTAGATCTCGTGCGAGCGATGCTAGTCTTCTGCATATACGTGGAACGCTGGGAGCCAAATCCCCGTGTAAGCCGCAGCCGCACCGCAGAGCAGGAGTGAGGAAACCTCCAGCCTGTGGGACAATCTCAGTCCTGCAAAGTCTCTTGCATGTCGGACAACTTTGCTGCCCAACTGACTCCTCTGTGGACAGATGGCACCTGACGGAGGGGGGCAGTTGCTGCTCTTTCCCCCGCCTTTTCCTCTTCAGCTGAGGAAACAGCTACATGAGACTAGCAGGTGCATTTTAAAAACAATTAAATGCCAGGATTCCCCACCACCACCACTGTGGTGCCCCTCCCCCCACAGGAATCAACCTGGACCCTGCAATTGTCATTTGAGGCTCTTCTTTGTGTGCACGCCCCCCCCCCCTGGATATCTGGAGTGTGGCAACACAAGAACTGGCCTTTTCTGTGGTGACCCCCGACTTGAGGACTGCTCTCCCCAGCGAGGCTTACCTGCCACCGTCATTGCACCTCTTTAGGCACCAGGTGAAAACCAGGCCTTTGGCTTTTAACTATCTATGCAGCCATTTAGAAAGGGATGCGGGTGGCGCTGTGGGTTAAACCACAGAGCCTAGGACTTGTCGTTCAGAAGGTCGGCGGTTCGAATCCTTGCAACAGGGTGAGCTCCCGTTGCTCGCTCCCTGCTCCTGCCAACCTAGCAGTTCAAAAGCACGTCAGAGTGCAAGTAGATAAATAGGTACCGCTCTGGCGGGAAGATAAACGGTGTTTCTGTGTGCAGCTCTGGTTCGCCAGAAGCGGCTTAGTCCTGCTGGCCACATGACCCGGAAGCTGCACGCCAGCTCCCTCGGCCAGTAAAGCGAGATGAGCGCTGCAACTCCACAGTCGTCCGTGACTGGACCTAACGGTCAGGGGTCCCTTTACCTTACAGCCATTTAGAGTGGGTGGGACCTTTGAACACCCCCACCCCCCACTGCCCCAGATTTAATGTATGTATTTTGTTTCTGTAAGTCACACTGAGTTGCTATGGCAAAAAGTGGTAATAAAAGGTAAAGGTACCCCTGCCCGTACGGGCCAGTCTTGACAGACTCTAGGGTTGTGCGCCCATCTCACTCAAGAGGCCGGGGGCCAGCGCTGTCCGGAGACACTTCCGGGTCACGTGGCCAGCGTGACATCGCTGCTCTGGCGAGCCAGCGCAGCACACGGAACGCCGTTTACCTTCCCGCTTGTAAGCGGTCCCTATTTATCTACTTGCACCCAGAGGTGCTTTCGAACTGCTAGGTTGGCAGGCGCTGGGACCGAACAACGGGAGCGCACCCCGCCGCGGGGATTCGAACCGCCGACCATGTGATCGGCAAGTCCTAGGCACTGAGGTTTTACCCACAGCGCCACCCGCATCCCAAAAGTGGTAATAAATTTAATTAAATCATCATCATCATCAAGGCAGGAAGAATTTCCCTTGGCACTGCAATGCCAGTAACTGCTGACCCCACAACAAATACAGATAAATGCACAGGGGGTGTTGTTGTTGTTGTTGTTGTTTAAAAAGTGTCATTAGTACCTGAGGCATCTTGTTGTGTTCATTCTGTGGGCTGGAAGGGGCCAGTTTCATACCTGTGCTTGATTTGCAGGTGCGAAATGCCATCCAGCGGATGAAGGAGAAGAAAAAGGCTCTCTCTTTCACAGTAGGTTTGGGGGGGTCTGGTGCCAGGGTCTCCCCCAGCCTGACCCCTTTTTCCTCTCCAGGAGGCCCCTCTCCCCTCCAACTCCCCCTGAAAACCACTGCATATGAGTCAGCCAGTGATAGAGACCTTGTGAGCTTCCAGAACAGTGATTCCACTTCTGCCCTCTGGAACAAAATAGAGAACAAATCTGCTCTTTCTTATTCAGGGCACCCCTTATGCCGGACACTGCCCTGTGGCCATTAAAGCTAGCACAAAATAAGACCCTAATGGAAAATATTTTAATTTTTTTGAAGGAAATTTCTCTTTTTTTGAAAGAGAGGGGGAAATTAAAAACAAAATATTTGTTAATTTACCTTTTTATTGCTGCATTCCTGTTGGTTGCTGAAAAGTGGAAAACATTTGTCCAAAATACATAGAATTTGATTGCATCGAATGAAAAACATCCCTGGTACACCCCCTTTTTTAAAATTAAAAGAAAAGGAAAAACAATTGTGACCTCTTTTGTCTCAATGTGGCAGGATTCTGTTAAATGCATAAAAAGGGAGAAAAAATTGCATTTGTGTCCTCCACTAGCCTCTTGAGAAATCTTGGAAAGGTAACATCTAACCGGTTGAAAAGATTTTCCTGATGTAATATAGTGCCTTTTATTCTCGGTGTTCCTTGCGCCTTTGATGGTTTGAGCTATAGATTTATGTTTCCAGATGCGTTTTAAGCCCCCCTGACTCTCTCATATCTAGTTTTGGGAGGAGGAAAACAAGAAAAAAAATATATTCTGAATCTCAGAAGCCAGAACAGCAAGAGAGATCGCTGTGCAGCGAAAGCAGCGATCCCTCTCGCTGTTCTGGCTTCTGGGATAGCTGCGCAGCCTGCATTCGCTCCATAAGACGCACACACATTTCCCCTTACTTTTTAGGAGGGAAAAAGTGAGTCTTATAGAGCAAAAAATACGGTATATAAAGTTGGTTGGGGGGTAGCTGTTTCTGGCTGGCTGTTTCTTCTCCAAAGAGCACCAGAAGAAGCTGATCTGGATCAAGCCAAAGGAGGCCCATCTATTCCAGGGTCCTGTTATCACAGTTCCCAGCCAGGTGCCCCCAATGAAAACCCACAAGTGGGAGTCAAGCGCAAGAGCAACTCCCCCCAGGGACAGCCTTTGGCAATCTTTTGTAATATGTCGCCTTGAGCAAGGCCAACATTTGTTTCCCCAAAGCCCGATCTTCTCAGCTACGGATCTTCTTGATTTTGTGTCCCCTGCACCACCCTAATGAATAAACTTCTGCAAACAACTGCTCTGTATATTGTTCCAAGCTGTTATCTCAAATCATTGCAAAATCAGTCAGCGCATAACTCCTGCTTGCCTTGGTGAAAGGGAGGAACATATTTTTTCATGCTGTGTCATATTAGCGAAAGCCATCTCGCCTCCTCTTCCATCTTTATCAAAACTCTCAAGTTTAAAGCTGCACAATTAAATGCCTAGTTATAAATAGAAGTCCGTCTGTACTCTTTTTAAAAAAATAATAATAATTTAAGTTCTTAGTGAGGCTTGGCAAACGATACAGAGAAGATTAGCATGGACCTAGGCAAGTGGATCTTCTTGATGTTGTGTCCCCCGCACCACCCTAAATCCAGCACTGCTCTCCACCCCGCCCCCCGTGGGGGTGGCAGGGCATTTGGGTGCGTTGCTGCCTCCAAGGGCGGAGGGCGGAGCGTGGCCTTGGGGGGGCTGGGAGCCGCCTGTCTGGGGGTGTGGATGCTGTCCAACTGCTTTGTGTCATTTCAGAACTGTTCCCACCCCATCAACTATCTGTCAAGCCCTAGGAACACGTCCTGGGAGGTGGGTAAGTTCAGCCCCTCCACCCCAGAGAATACAGCCTCCCCCTCCTCGGAGAAGGACTCTGCAACGAAGAACAGCAGCGGCAAGGGTACAAAGGTGGCACTTTGTTCCACCTGCAATGAAATCAGCATGTTTGACTATTTTTGTTTTGTTTCTGCATCCCGGCTGACCCTCCTTTCTCCCTCGCACAGGCAACTTCAGCGCCAAAATCCCAGCGGGACTTGCATCAATTATGTCTCCAGAGAGGCCGGTATGTAGCTCATCCTCACCTACCCAGATAATTTGATTGATTGATTGACTTATTTATTGCGTTTATATGATGCCTTCTCTTCCGAGGAGCTCCAGGTGGTGCGCATGGTTTTCCTTGACTCCTTAAGTTATTCTCACAGCAACAGCCCTGCAGTGTAGGCTAGGCTGGAAGGCAGCAACTGCCCCTCACAAGGTCTCGCCCAGCGAGCTTCTTGGTGGCCAGGAGAGCAACTGGACTGCTGGCCTCCCAGGCCATAGTCCAACACCAACCATTGTGTTGCACTGGAAGCTGTTTGTTCCAGGCCACACCCTTGGTCCACCTGGCTCCACCTCCTCTGATAGGAGGCCTTGACCCAGATGTACCTGGAGGTGCGGGGGAGGGGGGGTGAACCTGGGACGACCTGCAGCTGCGGCCTCTTCCTCCCTCCCTTCTCTTTAAGGAGCTCCACCTGTGGGTTAGAGGAAGCCATGAGGGCTGGTCGCACATTCCAAGTGGCGCTTGAGCCGCTGCTGGGCTGAGATTTTTAGTCCTTCAGCTTCTCCAGAGTTTCCTCCCCCTGTGAAAGAGGCTTCTGCCGGGGTGCCCCTTGAGACCCCCCCCCCCAAATTCTGATTCCACTTTGCTCTCAGAGCACTTGAGAATGTCTTTAGGATTCCAGTGCAATTGCGGGTGCAGAATTTGAAACTTTCCTTATTGTTGTGAAGTGGCCAAGAGTGGTGTGTGTGTGTGTGTGTGTGTGTGTGTGTGTGTGTGTGTCCCAGGAAATGTTTCTTCTGCACTGATCTGGACCCCCCACCCCATGGAAGGAGCTATCTCAGGATGGTGCCTTCCTTCCCCATTGAGAACTCAGAATGGCTGCAAATGCAGCTGGCCGATGAGATGCATAGCTGCCAAGTGTCCCTTATTTGGCGGGACAGTCCCTTATCCCAGCGCCATGCCCCGCTGCTGTCCCTTGTTGATGAGGCTTCGTTTGGCTGCTGGCTGGGCTTTCTGCCTTTGGCTCAGAGGGGCTCAGAAGTTGAACATACCTGTGCCCGGAAAATCCCTTATTTTGGCTGCTGGTCCCTTATTTTCAAATCCGTAAGTTGACAGCTATGATGAGATGGCTCTGTAGAATGAGCAAAAAAAGACAAGCGCCCGCTGGCTGCCTCGAAAGTAGGAACAGAGGAAGATGCTTTGCACAGAATCAGACCCTTGCTTCACCCGACTCAGTACTGTCTACACGGGCGGGCAACAGCTTCTCAGTGTGTCCAGGCCCTTCCTGGACTGGACCCAGGACCTTTTGCCTTAGAAACAGGTGCTCCACCGCTAAGGTATGACCTGTCCCATAAAACTAGGTCCCCAGTCAGAACCAGACCATGGGGCCACCTGACTCAGCATAGCTCTCTGGGGTTTCAGTCCCCCCCCCCCCGCATCATGAAGATGCCAAGTATTGAAACTGGAACTTTTCGTGTGCTTTCTTCCACTGAGCAATAGCCCTTGCCCTGAAGTGAAACAAGGTAAAAGCCAGTGGGACTCCCTCCCACTGGAGACAGCAATGGCAACCAACTGGGATGGCTTTGGCAGAGGGTTAGGCAAGTGCATTGTGGGGGGGGGGTGCCTACGGATGGCTCCTAGCCAGGACGGCTCCACAGTTGGAGCAGCAGTGCTTCCGAATGCCAGTTTCTGGAAACACCGGGACGGAAGAGGGCTCTTGTGCGCTAGTCCTGCTGTCGGGTTTCTCACGGCCGCTGTGGGAACAGGGTGCTGATCTGTCAAGGCTCTTATTACATTCTTATGTTCTCTGCCCCACCCATGAGAGTTCCCCCTAAATATATTTTCTCTGCTTTGATGATTTCGGAATGCAATTTCTTTTCTCTGCAAGTGATAGAGGCGGTAGGGGGAGGAGAAGTCCCCCCCCTTTCCCAATGCAGTGTTAAACTGGAGCCAAATATAGCTGTCTGCTGTCTCCCCCACTTTGTGGCATTTCCTCAGTATCTGCTAGTGCTGATTAGGTGCCCTAGCCACCTTTAACCACCTTGTTTTCCTCCCGTGGTTCCTGAGAGGTGGACTTTCCCCTCCTCCTTCCAGAGTCCCACCTTTATCACGTTGCCTTCGCAGGCAGGGAGCAACAATTCGTTTTAGAGCTGTGCCAAAGGCACTGGAGTGTAGGAACACTGGGGGCTTTTTTAAAAGGCACCCTTCTCTCCCGAGAGCCTGGGCGACCAAAACAACAAGCCCACCTAAAAGGGTCACGGCTACTGAGCTGCCCCTAAAGCAAGCAGGCGTGTTGCGGAAAGACTGCCACGCGTTGCTAGAGACAGGGTTGACTCCGTGCAAGAAGGGCAACTCGCTCATTGTTCCATAAAGCTTTCTGCTGACAGCGGCAGCCTCCAAGCTGACGCTCTGAATGAAGGACTCTGAAAACTCAGAAATAGGTTTTCAAAGTTGATTACCTTTTTTTGGCCCTGTTTGTCCCCCGCTATCAAACTGGATTATGCCAAGTACTAACTATTCAACTCCCAAGGGCGCTAGTTGCCTCTCAGCCAAATAAACAGTGCTCATCCTCCCCATCTTGTTTTGTTTTTGTTTACTAAACCATCTGAAAAACAGGCTGGGGAATCTTCTGGCAAGGATGAACCCTGGGCTCATTTTGATGCCCTGATTGGCCAAGCCGATCCAGCGGCTGAAATGGAAACCCATCAGCTTCTCCCCACTGACACCGGGTGTTGGGCAAGAGGGACCACACCATTGCCTGAGCTCCTAGGAACTCAGCCTTTGGCTCAGGCCAGAGGGATTAATTTTGCAATTTGCGCAGATTTCTGAAATGCCAAGGTCGGTCGCTGCTGATTCCCATCTGTTAGTCCCAGAAGCAAAGATACGATCAGCTGCACACAGGGTTTAGAATGTTGATTAATTTCGTTGTTGCTTTACATCACGGAGACAACAACAAGAAGAAAAGCACATAATTAAAAAATAGAAGACTGATTATAAACATAGAATTAAAATAAAATCCGTTATTGTCATGGGCAGGATAATATAGATGACTGAATCAATGAGATCCACAGATAAGTAGGTGGAGGTGACCATGTGCCTCCTTATTGACATGTGTCATAAAATCTTAAAAACAGTGGTACCTCGGGTTACAGACGCTTCAGGTTACAGACTCCGCTAACCCAGAAATAATACCTCGGGTTAAGAACTTTGCTTCAGGATGAGAACAGAAATTGCGCAACAGCAGCGGGAGGCCCCACTAGCTAAAGTGGCGGTGGTGGTGTTTAGTCGTTGAGTCGTGTCCGACCTCTTCGTGACCCCCGGACCAGAGCACACCAGGCACTCCTGTCTTCCGCTGCCTCCCGCAGTTTGGTCAGGCTCATGCTGGTAGCTTCGAGAACACTGTCCAACCATCTCGTCCTCTGTTGTCCCCTTCTCCTTGTGCCCTCCATCTTTCCCAACATCAGGGTCTTTTCCAGGGAGTCTTCTCTTCTCCTGAGGTGGCCAAAGTATTGGGGCCTCAGCTTCAAGATCTGCCCTTCCAGTGAGCACTCAGGACTGATTTCCTTCAGAATGGAGAGGTTTGATCTTCTTGCAGTCCATGGGACTCTCAAGAGTCTCCTCCAGCACCAGAATTCAAAAGCATCCATTCTTCGGTGGTCAGCCTTCTTTATGGTCCAGCAGCTAAAGTGGTACATCAGGTTAAGAACAGTTTCAGGTTCAGAACGGACCTCCAGAACGAATTAAGTTCTTAACTCAAGGTTGCTGGATCAGGCCAGTGACCATCGAATCCAGCACCCAGTTCTCACAGTGTCCCAGCAGGTGCCTGAATAGGAAACCAGAACAAGAGCCATATCTCTCCAGCAACTGGGATTCGGGAGCCCTGCTGCCTCTGACTGTGGAGACAGGGCAGAGCCATCAATAGCCCCCTTCTCTTCCATGAATTCATCGAACCCTTTTCAAAGCCGTCCATGTTGGCAGCCATCACTGCCTCCTGTGGGAGGGAGTTCCACGGTTTAACTACGCACTACATAGAAGACTGGCCTGAAGTCACACCCAGGCGGCTTCATGGCCAAATGTGGAGATTTGAACCCTGGTCTCCCAGGTCCTAGCCCAACAGACTAACCACTGTGGTTGGGACAGCTGATAGGGAATGCACTAAAAAGTGGGGGGTAATATCTGATGGATGAGAAGACACCGTATTTTTCGCTCTATAAGACGCACCAGACCACAAGATGCACCTAGTTCTTGGAGGAGGAAAACAAGAAAAAAAATATTCTGAATCTCAGAAGCCAGAACAGCAAGAGGGGTCACTGCGCAGTGAAAGCAGCAACCCCTCTTGCTGTTCTGGCTTCTGGGATAGCTCAGGACCTTACTTTTTAGGAGGGAAAAAGTGAGTCTTATAGAGCAAAAGACACGGTAATTCATTCTGGAGGTCCATTCTTAACCTGAAACTGTTCTTAACCTGAGGTACCACTTTAGCTAATGGGGCCTCCTGCTGCTGCCGCGCCGCCGGAGCACGATTTCTGTTCTCATCCTGAGGCAAAGTTCTTAACCTGAAGCACTATTTCTGGGTTAGCGGAGTCTGTAACCTGAAGCGTCTGTAACCCGAGGTACCACTGTATAACCTTGCCGTAAAACAAATAGGAAGGAACACTGAAAAACAGACCAGACATTGCACGTGACCCTCCCAGGCAGGCTTTGTGATAGCAAGTCGGTGTGGATGCTCAACAAACAGCCACTGGGCAGAGTCCCACGCCTCTTGTGCTGATTTCAGCCCCTCAGTGCAGGGAATCAAACATTAATTCCGTTCGTAGAGCTAGATCAGATGGCTACCAGGTAGACTGAGTTAGGCTACTTTGTGTTTGCAAAGGACTTTTGCGTTGGTCTCGCGACTCCAGAGGAAGCTGGGTGGGTGGCTGCTGAGTCTTGCCACCATTTACCTACCTGTTGATGTGTTCTCCATCTTTCTCTCTCTCTCTCTCTCTCTCAGGCTGTACAACTGACTGCATTCAAATCGTCAGGTA